AGCTCAGCCACAAGGCAGGGTGCTTACAACAAACCAGCAACCACCAAACTCGGTTTTAAAGACGCTATAAAAGCAGCTATACAGCACAACAAGATTTCAGTAATGATTTTCAGAACAAATGATTCATAACTGAGGTGTATCCCATCATTCACAGCAACAAAGACTAGGTCAGATGCCATTCCAACATTAGACCATCAAGAAGGGTGACTAATTTGCAATAGAGGATCATACTAGATTACCAACACTTCTAACATGAGCTGCAAAGCCACTGTGGATAAGACATGACAGGTATTCAGGAAGCATTCTCCAAGTGTGTATCACTTGGCCTGAAAAAAATAGGTACTTGTCAGTCTCAAATGATTTAATGACACCTTGGCAGTGTTTTCCAAGTGTTCTTTTTTTACCTGATATCTCTCTGTCCTGAGTCAGACTCCAAACTGTGCTGCCATTACAGATCTGAAGTCACCTATAGCCACACACACCTTTCATGTTGTGCACACATCTTAAAGACAAGACTATGATCTTTTCTCTTGGTTTCACAAGGCTACCTTGGCCAAAGTCAGCTATTTCTCTCCAGCCATTAACTGTATCTAGCAGGTTTTATAACCCTTGAACAAAAGAAGCCACTGCCACACAGAACAAGGCAAGCACACATTTTGTCTCCAGTATTTAAAAAATACTAGTTCCAGCTACCCTGCTAACCTTTTAAAGCTTTTCTGCACAACTCTGCCTCAGATGTGTTTATTTTAACCACCTCTCCAGAGGATAAGGTCTTCAAGCCTTCTGCCTTCACTACTTCTTTTGGAACAAAGTGCAGAAATGTGATTATTTTAATATGCAGAAGTCCCATCATGGGCTATACCAAGCATGTTTCCTGGACACCTTTGTCTTCCTGGTATGTTTTGTACACAAACCCTTGGATTACCAAAGAGCTCTATGAAATCCAGCTATTTTGCTGGATATTTAATAACTCCATTACACTCACAGGATTGCTGATGTCGTGCAAAATAAGAGTTACTGTATTTTTGTGTGTGATATTAAATGAAGAAAAGTTTTGGTATAGTACTCAAGACACTGTTGCTAAAAGTCAGTGATGGCAGCTCAGGCTGGCTTGCTGCATACTCTTATGAGACTCTTGGGAACAAGATCTGTAGGGGAGAACCGCAAGACAAAGAGAAATTAAAATAAGCTTCCAAGGACAAAATGGGACATCCCTACACCCCCACACCCACAAAGGGAAATACAGCATCCTGAAGGGGGTGGGATTTGAGATAAAATTATTATAATCCAAATGAGTTTACAATAAGAAAACCAAAACAGCGTTCATTAACGTCTGGGAAAAAATCACTGGGTAGCAAGCTCTAAGCCACAAAAGACTCAAACATTTTTATGACCATCACCAAACTAGAAATGTTTTGTGTATGAATTACACACTGAGTAGAAACCTACCAATGACCTAAAGGGTTGGTTATAAAAGACTCCACTGAATCAGTATACGTGTGGGATAACCCAGAAAGAGAAACAGGAATATCTCAATTCTTACAGCAGTTTAAATGTGGCAGGCTTCATCTGAATGCTCAAAGCATATGAGAAGACTTACAGCTACTACTGTTATCTGAAATGTATGACTCACGATACATGGAGTTGTTTTAATGCTGTTCAGATTCACAGTTGCATCTAAATAAAATCAGATGTACAGGTAAGTCCTCCTCTAGCCTCACAACATTAATCCTTAATTTTAAGGTAGATGACCAGAGGGCAGATATGGTAAGACCAGTCAGCCCTGGCACACAGCCGACTGCAGCAACGAGAGGGAAACAGGGCAAACACTAGCCTGTGGGCAGGCTCTGTTGCTCAGGTGCCACGTTGCTGCCTGTTTGTTGGATCAGAAGCCATGTTGGCATTCTTCCTGAACCTGTGTGAAGTAAAGGCACCCGTAACCCTGTAACAAGGGTTATTTTGACATCCCTTTGTTCTGACATCTGAAAAACTTCCCCTGCCTTAGTGAGAACAACTGCTGCAGTGAAGCATGACTGATGCTTGTTATTAAGATGCCACCTCAGAGCAGCTCTGACAGCAAGGGCTGCTCCAGCAAAGACAAATAAAGAGCAAAATACACAGGGTGATGGCAGCAGGGGAAAGTAAACCAGATCCAAAGTACTGGTGAAAAATCAGAAGCTAGCAAGGTAAATGAGCTTCTAACTTCTAACCTACAGCTATAACATGTTTTGTGTGAACATATGCTGACACAGCAACAGAAGAGTAACACCTCTACTGTAAAACACAGCATAAAATGTGTCTTGGAGAAGTGGATGATCATGGGGGCTGTTTAAATACAGGGCAAGAGGAAAACCCCAAGCCACCTCCTCCTTTTGTCATAGGCAGAAAGACCTGTTAAAGCATTCTATAAATACATGTCCTGGTTTCTGATGATCGCTGCAACACGAGACCAACTAATGTGAAAAAAAACGAGCACTTTTTTGTGTCTTAGGAGAGTTGGGGGGTGGTTGTATGTTTGTGAATTATTGCTGTTTCTTGGTGGTGCAGTACCTGCTATATATAAAACCACAAGCTGTTGGAGAGAGCATAAACAAAGGCATTGCCAGTCCCATGACTGAACTGCAGCCCTCACCAAAAAGCAATTCTATGACCACAGAAGAGCAAGTAAGAGCACTGTATTATCTTTCTTCTGTGTGTTTAAAGGGGAATCCTTTGCTATATGGCCACTGTAGCAGGAAAAAAGATTTATGGATGCTCAGAGAGTTCAAAAAGACTTAAAATGGTAATGGTTTATTTGCGGTTTCAGGAAGATTCCAAGCATGGTGAAGCCAAACTGCAGCAGAAATAGTATATGTGCATTCTGTCTGTTGTCACTTTTTCAACCATAATATTTTTTTCTCTCTGCCTGCACTAGACAGAAGTTCCTTATCCCTAGGAGAGCTGTTGGTGTTAATTCACTTAATCTAATTCAGACTGGGTCATTTCCAAACCTATATAAGCTAACCTGGGGAAAAGGCAATCAAAGATAAGAATGCTAGCATTGAGAATCAAGCCACTTAATTGAAAGGAAATTAAATCTGGACCTTATCATACAGCAGAAGAATGTCTTCCTGTGGATAAATTCATAAGCAGGGTATTGGCACAGGTTTGTTCACTGGGCAAACTAAAGCAGGTATTTTGTTAGAGGCTGTGAGGTGCTCAGCATCCTGAATTCCCACATACTCCCCTTGATCAGAGCTTTGGTAACAGAAACAAAATATGAGGATTTGTGCAAAGCAGAAGATCGCTTTCTGTGATGCAACAAGATAGGGAACTCTGAGAACAGTGATGCGTTTCACATTTATCTCTCCATTTAACAATGCTCCCTGTGAACCACTGTGTATTATTCATCAGGTCTGCAGCAGCACTATGGCTTCAAGTACCTCTGATATTTTATGAAGTTTGGATGATCATGAAAATCAATGACCAAGTATTTTCAGATAAGGCTTGTGCAGCTTATATTATAAAATATAAATATTGAACAAGCAAAACTCACACTTTTTTTTTTGTTAAAGACGCTTGCTCCTCTCCTAGGTAAACACTGAAGACACACAGGTGTATTTCCACTGGGACTTCAACCATCAGCTGTCCTAGGGCAAGTCTTATCACAGGCGCTACTAACTTCTCTGCAGTAGCACTGGCACAGCCACAGCCTGCTCATAACCTGAATAGTCAAATCATGTGAACTCACATAAATCACCAGTGCAACAAGCCCAGTCATTGAAATCTTTAGTGGAATCAAGTCTGGAACTCACATTAAAGTGTATCCACTGATCAATGCATGGCATACAAAAAGCTTACAAGAAAACTGCATACACAGAATTTCTTATGCTATTATTTTAAACTTAATCTTGAGTTCATATTCAGCAGCTCACTGGGCACAAATTCATATCCTCCATATGATTACCAAAGTTATCTGTGCTGTTTATACGTGAGACCCTGAAGTCGCTCTGATATCATCAGTCCTCACAAAATGCTGCATAATGTCACCCTTGTCATAGAGTAGCTAAGAAGGTAATGTCTACTATCCAGATCTTCAATGCAGAAGTCATACAGCAAAGGTGTCACCACAGAGATAAATGCAGTCTATGGTATACTCCTACCATAAAGCACACAATGATGTCACAGTGAATGCTTATTCTCATCGTATGTTATTTTTTACTGTACACAAACCTTTCTTATATGGTCTACTCTTTACATTTCCATACTGTTTTTACAGTAGCTGTTGTAACCTTGGAGAGATGTCCCCAGAATACCAAAATAATTAACCCATGAATTAGCAACTCAAAAGAGGAGCACAGGAACAAAAGACCTGCACTGCTCAAAGGAATCATTGGTTAAAGGCCATCCCTGAGAAATTCAGGTCTGTAAGGGTTTTATCCTGAGCCAAGCATATGCTTTTTTCTTGGAGTAGTTGTCACTTGACCTCACAGCTACTACAGGGAAGGTACACCCTACATGAAGACACATTAATTTAACAACTCCTGCATCCAGAGATATGCAGGTTTCTGGTGTTTGTTTTTTTAATACAGTACCCATTCTGCCGTAGAAAGCTAGAGTATAAAGCACTGGAGAAATCCCAGACATTTATTGAACTCTTAAAAGGCACGAACACAACTGTCTTGGATAGGTCTTTAGTGAATGGACAGGAACCTACTCATTTGTACCACCTACTCTGTGCACTTTTTCCTATACATTATCTATAGCATATTCCCCAGGACATCTCTTTTGAATATCCAACTGATGCAATTTCCTGGGACAGAAAAAACTGGGAGAGATATCCAGAAACTTCCTTGTGGTGGGTTGACCTTGGCTGGACACCAGGTTCCCACCAAAGCTGCTCTATCACTGCCCCTCCTCAACAGGTCAGGGAAAGAAAATGTAACAACAACCTCATGGATTGAGATACAGACAGGGAGAGATCACTCACCAGTTACCATCATGGGCAAAAGAGACTCAACTTGGGAAATCAGTTTAATTTATTGTCAATCAAAATCAGAGTAGGATGATGAGAGATAAAACCTAAATCTTAAAACACCTGCTCCCCACTTCTTTCTTCTTGAGCTCAGCTTCACTCCTGATTTTCTCTACCTTCTCCAGGGCTGCAGAGGGATGGAGAATGGAGGTTGTGGAATAGTCCTTTATGAACTTCTGCATTGGTCCTTCCCACAATTCTTCACAAACTGCTCCAGCATGGGTCCGTCCACGGGGTGCAGCCCTTCAGGAACAGACTGCTCCAGCATGGGTCCCCTGCTGCAGGTTCCAAGTCCTGCAGCAAACCTACTCCAGTGTGGGCTTCCCAAGGGGTCACAGCCTCCTGCGGGCATCTGACTGCTCCAGCATGGGGTCCCCCGCAGGCCGCAGGCGGAATCTGCTCCACTGTGGACTTCCACGGGCTGCAGGGGGCAGCCTGTCTCACTACGGTCTGAACTACGAGCTCCAGGGGAATCTCTGCTCTAGGGCCTGTAGCACCTCCTGCCCTCCTTGGGGCACTGACCTTTGTGTCTGTAGGGCTGTTTCTCTCTTCCAGTTAATGTTGCACAGGGTTTTTTAACCCTTATCTTAGAAACGTTATCCCAGAGGTGCTACCACCATCACTGACGGGCTCGGATTTGGCCAGTGGCAGGTCCATCTTGGAGCTGGCTGGAACTGGCTCTGTTGCGCATGGGGGCAGCTTCTGGTGTCTTCTCACAGAAGCCACCCCTGAAGTCCTCTTGCTACCAAAACCTTGTTACACAAACCCAATACACTCTAATTCAAGGTTCTCATTACATTTTCTATAGCTTCCTAAAAAACAAGGACCACTGGCAGACTGATATCAACAGGTTGATTTCATAATAATGAAAACAGTCTGTTGTTTCTGGAATGGAGGAGAGATCACATATATACAACATGTTCAAAAAACAAAGGGATTCCTCCCAACATACACACCTTATCCTGAGCTTGCAAAGTGTCTAGAAAGGGCAGACTCAGAGAACTCTTATACCAACATGTATCAAGGTCCTTCAAAGTATAGTGTATTCCCTCACTAGATTGAGTACATCAACACCAGCAACATTAGCATAGAGTTCAGGCACCACCAGCTCAGGCACCTGCAGTACTGCATGATTGTTGCTGTTCTTCATTGCTGTTTGTAGAGACCACATCAAGTCTGCTGGAGAAGGCCGGTTAGTTGCATTCCACTGCCAGCAGGACTTCATGATGCTGTACCTGTAAGATGGAGAAGTACAGAAGCACTGGGAATGAGAACCACCAACACTAAGTTTTACTACAGTCATATTTAAAATGTCTAGAGACCTCCTCTTTTTCTGCTTCATATAAAGTTCTTTCAATGACACTCTTGAAATATGCAACCACAGAATATTGTGTGGGGACAAATGCATACAGTTGCTAGCCAGGATGTCAACTGTGAGTAAGAGAAAAGGGAAAAAGGTTGCTTGGTATTCCCTTTTGAAAGAGCATTATAGAAGAAAAAGCCTCTAAAATTAGAATAAATTATGCCTTCATAAAAGGAAATATAATGCCATAGACCTTACTCATGGCTGTTTTGTTTACTTCAGGGAGGATCCCACAACTTAGAAGAGAAAGATATTAATCCAGAACAGTCCTACACCTTGCAGGGAAGCAGTGGAGCAACAAAATGCAAGGGCAGACAAGGGAACAGAAAGAGTAACTTTCAAAAGCAGGAGAGAAAGGGTTTGGCAATCAACGTTCCATGCAGCAGCATCTAGTAAAGAGATGCGGTAGACGTGAGAAAAAGTCTCCTCAGCTAATAGATGACTGTTTTGGCTACAGAGATCCTCTGCAAGACCTAGTTTTGTACGTCTCACTTCCATTTAGCTCTACAGATCTCAAGTTCAATTGTCCATGAAGTAAGTGGCTTACATGGCTTGCTGGCAGCTTGAGGGCTGTTTCATCCTGTTCTCTCTCTGAAGGTATGGTAAAATATCAGAAGGTGGCACCTCAGGATATGGTGGAGCACCTGGAAGGGCAAAAGGAGTTACAATAGAAAAACTGTAATAAGAAAATTGTTGCCAATGGCAGCCTGTGAGAATGCCTTCCTTCCCTACCAAAATCCATCCTTTTTATCCTGCCATAACTCACACTGAAAAGAAGTCTAAAAGGAATTGTCAAGGCTTTGCAAGTTGGAAAAAAGAAAATTCTTATTTAAATGGCCCAACTTTACATTCTAAAATTTGAGATGGGGGTCTTTCTAATTTGCTGCTTCCTTACATATTTTTTATCATCATTGTATCTTCTTACCTAACGTAATCATTTCATACAGTAGAATTCCAAAAGACCATCTGCAAGAAAAGAAAACAATGTTAAGTTTCCATTCTAGCTAAATTCTAGCTTAGATGCATACAAATAGGCACAACCTGCAGAAATGAGAAGGTATGAGATATAAAGTGGAGCATTACACTCAGAGTAGATATGACTTACTGTGAACTTTAGGACATGAAATGATACATAAAGAAGTGAAAGAAATGAACTTCTGGTTCAAAAATTAAATCATACATGTCTGCCTTGATGCTGGGGGGGTTCTTCAGGAGCCGCTCTGGTGCCTGCCACTTGACTGGCACAATCTTTGTGACTGAGTTGACACCGTATGTGTGAGTTTCATAGGCCAGACCGAAACCACAGAGCTTAGCAGTGAAGTTGTAATGAAGGAGGACATTCCTGGCAGCAACATCACCATGGAACAATTTCTTCTGTTCAAGATAAGCCTGGGAAGTTGGAAAACAAAGAGACCATGATAATTTTCAAAGGAATTTTAACTGACGTAAATTTTCACTTGATTTATGCTTGTCTTGCATGCTGTGGAAAGACATGTATGCTCACAAAAATAAAGCAAGCATATATGGCTCAGTTTTAACAAAGCACATCCTCACTGCTTAGGCCAAGAAGACTTAGGCCACCATGCAGACTTGTGTTGCAATCGAGAAGGCCAAAATGCAGTGAATATGAGTAGACTTACCAGAGCTGCTGCAACCTGCTGTCCAACTTCATATACTTGTCTCTCGGTGAAGTCATAGGGAACATCATCCGTTGTCATTACATCCTAGAGACAAAAGAGCAGATCTTGGTTCAAACAAATGCCATAGCTGTAGCATACTGGGGAATGATTTCTTCTAATTTAATAAAATGAGTACTATCAAATCTTCTGCTCCCCCAAGTAATTTCCCAACTGATTATAAATTGACTGAAATATAAGGGTATGTAGATGGGTGATGTTGATGGATGGATGGTGTGCTGGGGAAGACATTAAAGACAAGTGGTGGGTAATATGAAGAGTGAAGAAGAGATTAACAGATTAGACAGAAATGGGTAGAATGACACTGGAGAATGACAATCCATACAGAAGAATGAAAGATACATAACAAATTACAATGATGAGTGGAAAAGTACATTTATAACATACAAATGGTTATCTGGTATGAGACTAACAGTCCATCTCTCTTGCTATTCTGCCTCTAACAGTGACCCTACCTGGATGCCAGATGAAAGAAAGAGAATAAGCACACAATGTTTTTTCTGTGTCATTTTCCAGCCCCCCAACTATTTTCAATTTAAGGATTTCCTGAGATGGTTACAGTTTCAACATATTCTGTAACCTCTGAAAGGCTACCTGCCATAAATGTATTCAGTCTTGTCTTGAACCCATGTAAAGTTTCCATATCCATAGCAGTCAGTGCCAAGGAACTCCACTAATCAACTCCCCACTTCATGAAGAACCACTTTTGTTTGTTTTGAACATGACACTTGGTAGCTTTACTTGCTACCACCTTGACCTGCTGAACAAGACAATAAGCAATCTCTCTGTATTTAGTGTTCCAGATGCAGGTAAATTATTCATGCAGTGACATGGCAGAGTTTCGTTCCTATGCCCTTCTTAATAATGCTTAATACTTGGTTTCTTTTCCAGCCTGAGTTAACATTTTCATACAATCAGATCCATGATTTTATTCCTCATCAGCAACAGGCAGATATGAGGCCATCATTACATATGTGAAGCTAAGGTTGCTTTTCTACATGGTCGTAATTTCATTTGTAACTATGCTGAATTTCACCTGTTCTTTTTATTGGCCAGTCCCTCAATCTTATAAAATCTTGCAGTTCCACAGGGTCAGCACTTGCCTTTACTGGCTGGAATCGTCATCTCACTGTCATCCCATTTTCTAAGTTACTGATACATGCAATGAACAGCACCAGGTCCCATATGAGTGACATCCCTCAGTGCAAGTATCAACCTTTCACTCATATGCTCTGTTTCCTGGTGTTGTAACTGCTCTGCTTCCCTAAAGCATTTGGAGTGACACATTATTTAAAACTGATTAGAAATTCACATAGCTGTCTCAACTCTCACTCTTATTGCAGTCCCAGCTGTATCTTTCAAGAAGCTCCAGTTATCTGCAGGACTATGTCAACTTCTCCAAACTGTATCATATCAATCAAGATATCCACTAATTCCATTCCAGTTCAGACTTGTGCAGAACTTCTTTGGGGTGTGGAAATAGTTTAGACTGATAAAGAGGGATGCATGGAGAGATGAAAAGAATCATCTGTGATTTATGGACTATGACTTATGGATAAATACGTACCTAAGGATTTTAAGAAGATATTCTATCATTTCTTTTGACTCACCTTCCGACATGTCCATAAAAATGTCAATAGGTCACCAAGAGAGACATCTTCCATGATCATATAAAGTGGGAGCTGACCTACACAGCATCCAACCAATTCAACCAGGTTCTCATGATGGCCAAGATTTTGATGAAATTTAATCCTTCCCAGGAAATCCTTTACTTTCTGGGGACTAGCCAGGTCTGAAAGAACAAAAACCCCAAACCAAACCAATCAAACAAACAAAACCAACCTCCTCCCCCCGCAAAAACCCCCACTATACTACCAAATGGAGGAAGCAAAGAACAGCTTAAAATCAACATGAACAGCAATTTCTTAGTCCGACCAAGACATTCCTATCAAAACAGCTACTCAGACTAGCTAACATGATACTCAACACAGCTTGGTCTTGTCCAGCAATGACTGCAAGTTCTGCCCAATATCATGTCTTTGATACGGAGATCCTGGCCGTGTGCCTTACCTTGTAAGACTTTCAGTACTACTGTCTTAGTCTTCCTGGGGCTCCCAATTTCCAGCTGTGCTCTGTAGATGCTCCCATAGCGACCATGTTTTATCAGCAGCCAAGTGCCTGGTAAGAGTTTCTCTCGTGGTATCTCCAGTTCTTTCAGAGTCAAGGATGCAGAATTTAGCAGGCTTTCCACAGACATCTCACTCAGCTGGATACAGCGGCTCTCTGTTGAGCTGTATTCCTGCTGATTCTTGTCATTCACTGACAAAAGCAAATACACATGATGCATAAAACCAGACAGATGAAATCTTGTAGTAGGTGGCAATGCTTGCCCTTCTAGCCTCTAATTTTTACCCCACAGTGTACTGGAAATCAGGACAAAGTAAAGAACTGTTATTGTATCTTACTTATCCTGGCCATTGAAGAAGAGAGGGAATTTATCTCCAAATCTATTTGATTAAAAGGTAAAATGAGTCTGGAGATCTTTCCTATATTTAACTATCTAAACTTTCTAGGTAAGACACATTTGTACTTGATTCCCTTGTGTTGAAGCAATGACCATTTTATTACCAGCTACCAGCTGTTACAGAAGTCACACGCACAGGCTGTTCCACAGGGTGTTATCTTTGTTCTCAATTATCTCCCTTAATATAGGCTGAAAAGGCTTTTTCCTCTACAAAACCAAAATCAATTCAGTACTGGATTTTCATTTCCACGTTCAGTTCCACAGAATTTCATTTCTACACCATGTGTTTTTTGGTATCTACAAACCTTTCCCTACCCCCCCTCTCTCTCAGTCCCTGTTCTATTTCTTCTTATCTCCATAGGAAGTGGGAGACAGAAGCTTGAAATTTTTCTTAAATGACAGGGTAGAAAATGGATTAACTAGGTGTGACCTACACCAAAACAGCTGTCATTCATAACATTCATAACTCTCTTTGCAGTAGCATCTAGAAGGCTATTACATAAACACACTTTGCAGGTCTTGAGGTATGTTAGTTACCAGAGTGTGTTAAACAGTCTATATGATATGTTGCTTTAAGTTTTCTCAGATCCATCTATACTACAGATTCCACTACTACTACTGCAAATGGTATAAATCAGGGCTCTCCGTTTTTTTACTTTTCACTCAATTGCTGAACACCACTCAGGCTCTTCAGGCCAGACTGACAGCAGTTGTACCTGAGCCAGCTTGTGCCCAGGCAGCCAACAAGGACAACAGCATCCTGGCCTGTATCAGCAATAGCACAGCCAGTAGGGCCAGGGCAGTGATCACCCGCCTGTACTGGGCACTGGTGAGGCCGCACCTCGAATCCTGTGTTCAGTTCTGGGCCCCTCACTACAAGAGAGACATTGAGGTGCTGGAGTGGGTCCAGAGAAGGGCAACAGAACTGGTGAAGGGTCTGGAGCACAAGTGTGATGAGGAACAGCTGAGGGAACTGGGGAGTTTAGTCTGGAGAAGAGAAGGCTCAGGGGGGACCTTATCGCTCTCTACAACTGCCTGAAAGGAGGTTGTAGTGAGGTGGGGATCAGTCTCTTCTTCCAGATAAAAAGTGACAGGACAAGAGGAAATGGCCTCAAGCTGTGCCAAGGGGAAGTTTAAACTGGATATTAGGAAAAAATTCTTCACGGAGAGGGTGCTCAGGCATTGGAACAGGCTGCTCAGGGCAGTGGTGGAGTCGCTGTCCCTGGAAGTGTTCACAAACCGTGCAGACAAAGACCTTAGTGATATGGTTTAGTGGTGGCCTTGGCAGTGCTGGAGAATGGCTGGAAGTGATGATCTTAAAGGTCTTTCCAACTTAGTTGATTCTATGATTCTATAAATGCTATTGCCTAATGACTCAAGCAATAAAGAGAAGGGATTGCCTTCTGGCCACTGACAGGAACACTCACTCCTGTGGTTGAAAAGAAGTTTTTTACCTTGGTGTCCAGATTGCTCCTGCTTTGCTCGCAAGCCTCGGCAGTGGAGCCAAAGGATCACAGTTAGCATGATGACAAAAACACCCACAAGGAGAACTGGGACAACAATCACTTCAGTCTGATATTCACGCACAACTATAAAAAGAAAATGGGAAAATGAGGACTAAGCAGCATTTCCACATGCACATTGGTTCTGTGTAACAGAACAGTCACAGCATATTTCAGTAACTTTCAATCCCCAAATTCTATCTATCCTCTGCCTCTTGGAACAGCAACTGAACACTGTTAGTGCTGCCACCCTATTTTTCAAAGGTGCTGAGTATCTAAACTGCATGAACCCACTGGGACTCCCACACCTGAGGTCTTTTATGTAGATGCTGTAATAGAGAGGCTGGAAATTGTAGCCGTGTGTAAGTATCCACTAGTGCAACAGAACTGCCCCTGGCAAAGGGACAGCAGGGAGATGTGAAGGGCTGAATATTGCTATGCCATCACAAATACATGTGCAATTACAGCTTCAGCTCCTTACATTAAAATTACAGGAAACATTTTAAAGAAAACAAGGTGTGGACATTACAATTAACAAGGATGTTAAAAGTAACTAACTCTCTTATGCCCCAGATTTGGAGATTATGCTATTTTTGCATAGGCCAAGACACATGTTTCAGTTCCCAAAGATGACAGAAAGTCATGAAATCAAAATCTCACGAGACTGGTCCTTAGGGAAGCTGCAGGGATTCTTTAATGACTATGTCTTATTGAAGGCAGAGATACTCTAAAATGGCTAAAATTATGTGCGATGAATCCCACCACAAAGGCTGCATCCCTTTAAAAGTTTCTCCCTTGAGATACAATTCAAGGAAAGATCAGTGAAATCTTTGTGGGCTGGGATGCAGGTGGAGGAGTGGAAAGGGCTTGGCCCACTTTCTAGTAAAGCTGGACTTCTTGCTCAGCATGTGAAAGTTATTACTTAAGGAATCTGGGAATCTTACCACACAGTTTGTCATTGCTGTTGCATTCCAGCAGCATGCGTGTGAATCTTTTTACATCCCCTGCCATGTTCAATTATGAGCAAGTAGGTCTCCAACTTCTGTCTTCTGCACAGACACAAAGAATATTAATTAAATTTACTGCAAGAAAGAATGACTTATGAAGCAACAAGTAAGCTGAATGTGGAGCTTTCTACTCTTTATGATCAGTTCTTGTGTCAAGAAGCACCACTGGGACTTTGAGACTTAGAGATTGATACGGGACATCCAGTATCAAATCCTATGAACGGTAGACTGCATGACCAGAGAGAATTTAAGATTAAGATTGTTATAGAGTGCTTCACAAGCAAACAGTTATGCCTAGGCCTAAAGGCTGGCATATATGCAAAATATTCATAGGGCTCCTTTAACACTGCCAGGCCCACAACTAATCTGAAGCATAACATGTGGAACACCAGCAGAGGACCTGGACTACTAGTTCTAAACTAAAAAAAAAAAAAAATAAATCAATCAATATGTGGTGAATAGTGATGACTGACAGAAAGGCAAGGCACATACATTTAGGCACTGCTACTTATAAACATTGCCAAAAAATTAAGTCTAACAGCTTCACAAACAGTATAATCTAGAATGTTTTATAGGCATCGGAACTCTTATCCTTTTAAGTACTTACTTTATTTTCAGCTATGAATTCAAGGCAATTAACCGCAATGGCAAATGTTAATAATAATATATGGCATTCCTACTGGTATGAATATGACTTTACGGAAGTCAGTGATGGATGAAATATTAAACAGTTTGTTCTAATTGATGTAATTGATGGGTGAAATTACGCTTGATTAGTTGCACAACAGAGGCAGCAGAAAGAGGAAAATGGCACGTATCTGCACTTCAAGGTATTACAAAAGGTCTATTTAATTTCTTATTTCCTGTGATTCTTTGTATGCTAGCTAATTGACATGGACTCACAGTGTGGCTACAACATGAATCCAGTCAAAGCAGCAATAATACAGCAATAACATCAAGCTTTGCAGGTGCACTATGAAAGTAAGCATACTAAATCAACCTAACTTAGCTATGACACATACACACGCTTTTACACAAAAATACAGAGGATTAACCATAACACCATAAATCCTAGCTTCTTTCACTCTCAGATTACGCTCAGATACAAAATACACATAAGAACAGACAAGATAGCAGCACAGGAAAGCAGACTTCAGGACCACTAGCCACCAATCATGTTGTATAATCTGAGTCATAAACAGTCCAAGCTCCATCTTAACAGTAGCTAACAGCTTTGCTTTCTGCAGATGTTCACTAGAAATGCACACTTACACTTAAATGATGTGCATGCCCAAGGCAGATACAAGCACAGACGTACCAACTTGTACACAGAAACATGCTCATACAATCAGGAAGATCCATGGAAGAAAGCTTTGATGCAGCAACAACACCTACATTGGTCCCCTGTTCATAAAAAATGATTCCTACCTCCTCCCCTATGTACCTCCCACCAGTGATGCCAGTGGGTGGCACCCCATGTTTCCTAACCATGCTCAGGGCAGAAGTATGGGATCCAGGAATAAAAACATTGGCAACCCCTGGTGCTTTATTTGCACTGGCACTCCCATTTGTTGCTGTTGCTTATGGAGCTGCACAGGAGTCTAATCAAACCGGAAAAGTTTGATTAGACAAGTCTATTTACATTCTATTCCTCTATCCTCTTGCAGAACTCTGGAAGCAGGAAAAGAAGTTGCACTTAAAAAAGTAATTCTGAAGTGCCTTTCAGTGCTCCTTTACAGGCTGAGGACAATTTCAGACAAAATTCTCATACTTAGCTCCTGCATCTTACTTGTGTAAGAGTAACCTTATTGCAGTTCCTACATTTCAATCCTCACAACCAGAGTGGTAACTCAGAAATCCACATTATATACATTTTTTTTTTTTTTTTTTTTTAAATTTACTAGTAGGGGACACATGGAGGTTATGTGGAAGTAACATCTTCAGTGTGTAAGTGCATACTCACCACTACCAGAAAGCATATTGGGACTGCTCAACTAATTATTTTATTATATGAAGACAGTTTTTCCAGTACCAAGCCAGGATAAGGGGGACAAAAATACCTTAGGAGGTTCAAAACCTATACCTCATTGTTAGACTTTCCTTTGTGTGTTATATCGTGCCAAGACCAGTACTGTCTATATCATGATCACAGGAGTACATATCCTGTAAGACTTCAACTTAGAATTTGCATTGAACAATTTGTGCAATCACAAGTAAAACTCAGCTTAGTTATTCTACTGGGGTTTTTTATTGCTCTTTTACATACACTGAAATCCACTCACTGGAATTCATTTATCTTTATTGTTTACTTTCAAAATCATACCTGATTCAATAGTCTGCTCTCCCTGCCTGAGCCTATCTAATCTTTTCAGATCTAACCTGATTTCCTCCTCCTTCAGTTGAAACTCATAATTTTCGTTGTTGACATAAACCTGAAACTTTCCTTTCTCTTGGACATGCATCTTTTTTTAGCAAATTCTCTATTGTGCAGCACAACAGTGTGACTTAGTACCTTATTTAAGAAAACCAGCTGGCAGTGCAATACAGAAATTAAACATGATACATAATGACCATAGTACTAGGCCCTTCTTCCCTCAGAATGCCAAGGCTCAAGGTAAGGGTGGTATGTTTCCACTCAGTTTCAGACTACAAAGCCTTCCTGAAAGACAGCTTCCCTTTGACAACAGTGAACAGAAAGCAAATGAGCTTTTCTATAACAAAAGTCCTCAATAAAAATGACTGAATCATAAAATCCTAGAATGGTTTGGGTTGGAAAGGACCTTAAGATGATTATCTAGTTCTAACCTCCTGCCACGGGCAGGAACACCTCACACTAGACCATGTCACCCAAGGCTCTGTCCAACCTGGCCCTGAACACCACCAGGGATGGAGCATTTACCACTGCTTTGGGCAATCTGCTTCAGTGCCTCACCACCCTCATAGTAAAGAACTTCTAACTTACATCTAACCTGAACCTCCCCTGTTTATGTTTAAACCCATTACTCCCGTAAGTCCCTGATGAATGGGAGCAACAAGGGGCTGTGAAGGTCTTTGTAAATGAGTTTCAAAAAGGTGTTCAGGAGGGAACAGGGTTTCCACTAAACAGATTTTGAGAGATTTGGGAGCTTTTGCTGGGGCAGAGGGAAATAAATGAGAATCAATGCAGATACAGTGCCCTAGATGGCAATGCTCAATGTTATGCTCAATTAACAATGCTCAGATACTACATAGTTCCAAGCAGACTGCAACAACCATGGCAGTCAAGCCCTTCTTTGACTAATACCTGAATCCAAAGCCCCATGTCCAAGCTAAATATACAGTGAAGGCCATGGTACCTAGGAAGAGCAGAAGCAGCTGCTCTTTTGACAATGCAAGGCAAAACCTGAGCAGAAGCTAACCTACAGTCAGCAGCATTTGCAAACTGCCACTAGCAGACTACTTGGTGAACTGCATGTGGTGCGGCAGTTCCACAGCATGGGGACAGTCCCCCATATCTGCCCTACAGAGACAATTACTGCTCCTCTGTGCACATTTGCCAGCAGGATGAACATTGGGGGAAAAGGTGGTGTTTGTTTCCCAAGCTGTTCTGCTGCCCTGGCAATTTAGACAAAGCACAGAGGTCAACACAGGGACAGCAATAAGCATCTGAAAGATGGTAGTTGTGGGGGCTGCTTAAACCAGTTCAGCAAGCCCCAGTACAGAATGTGAATATGATTTTGTGAATGCAGCTGAGCTGAATTAAGTGCTCACTAATGCCAAAAGAAAGGAGTATATCTTCTCCCTGCTCTCCCCCCCCCCTCCTGGTTTTCATCACAGCTATGCAACTGATAACATGTTAGACTGATTCAAACCACTAACCCAGCAGGAAAAATTCATCGTCCTTTTGTCATGGTGATTTCCTGGCATTTTAGTGAGTTGTATTAGTTCACCAAGCAATTCAACATGTGCTAGGCAGGCTCAACGAAGTGGCAGGAGCACACATCCAGGAAGAGAAACAGGGAAAATGGGTCTCCCAGCAGCCAGGGTGGTGAATGGCTAATTTTTCTAAAGCTGTATTGTGAACCCATTCCCTGTGTCAGCACAGATCCACAGTTACTGTGTGCCAGTAGAAGCCCTACTATGATTTTTCCAGTCCTCTGCCATTCATTCCCACATGTATAATATCCCCTTAGCGCTAGCACAAGCATTCACACAGCAATGCGGTAAACTGGATCGGGAAGGTGATCTGCCTAAATCATCAATCCTCTCTCACATTTTATGGATTTATATTTCTCATCAGGCTCAATTTATGCTATTTAAGGTGCCAGGACACTTGACAAGAGTCAAGAAGCCTGAGTGACAAACATTGTGGGGAAGACTGAAGAGAAATATAGTCTTATATGTCCATGGAACATATGGGAACAGACAGCTTGAGAACCGCACAAACAGAAACTGCCTTCTGCTTGCTCCTGCCATGTTCAGGAAAATAAAATATACATATTCATGGTAAATACACAGTTTTGCCAGTGAATATGTCTGACATCAGTACAAATAGGTAAATCCTTGAGTACCAACTAGCTATTCTGTCTATAGAAACTGCTGATTAAATAACTTTAATATGTAAAAAATAAAAGCTAAGGTTCATTTGGATCTTCACTAGACCTTTTAAACTGTGCTGTGAGCTCCTACGGAATTAACATAGCTATTTCTCCAAACTTACTAGCCTGCATTAACTTCACACCACTTTATTACAAAAATATTCTTACAAGTGTTTTTCATGCGCTAATTGTGAGGACCAACGGTAATATGACTTACAGGCATGTAAAGAACAGCTGTGGAATTACTTCAGTCCTGCATACTGCCTGGATGATAAAAGACAAAATAAGTCCTATAGCCATGACACCTTATATTTAATTTCTTACAGTGGCAGAACCATGCTCTCAAGGTTTTCCTGTGACTATTTCTGTACTGCTTTTATTGTTTTCATCGTATTTTATATGACCTTTGAACATGATCACCAGTCAAAGCTTAGGCAGCTGTTATGCACAAGTGCCCTGTCCTGGCTGCAAAGCTGAAAGGGAGGAGAGCTAGAAGAGAATTGCTGGAACTGAAACAGCAGTGAAACGAGCCAAGCAGTTGTGGATACTGAGAGACAAGAGGGAGAAGAAAAGCACCATGGAAAAGCAAACAGCAAAACAGACGTTTCTTCCTCTGTAATGTCCACCATTTTACTAAAAAGCAGCATCCAAAACAAGTAAGAAACAACTCCCACAGGTTTCAAGCCTAAGAACTTGATGCCATAAGGACTTATTTCTGCAAAAGCTATATATTTGTTAGACTATATATCATAGAATCATGGAATGGTGTGTGTTGAAAAGGAACATGCCGTAGGAAGGGATGCCTCACACTAGACCATGTCACACAAGGCTCTGTCCAACCTGGCCTTGAACACTGCCAGGGATGGACCATTTACCACTTCTCTGGGCAGCCTGTTCCAGTGCCTCACCACCCTCACAGTCAAAAACTGCTTCCTTATATATAACCCAAACTTCCCCTGTTTCAGTTTAAACTCATCACCCCTTGTCCTATCGCTACAGTCCCTGAAGAAGTCTCTCTCCAGCATCCTTGTAGGCCCCCTTCAGATGTTGGAAAGCTGCTATCCTGTCTCTTCTGCTTTCACAAAACCTGACTATTTCCAATGGCCTACCAGATCATGACATCTTTGCAAGGTTTCCCTGGCCCACTGAGTCATATCATCTCTCACCTGGGGGTTACCAAGCAGCACCTCCAACTGCATAGAATGAGAAATTCTGACTGGCCAATGCCAGTTGTAACATACCAGGCCATCTCACTTCTGTCCTGAACAAGGATTACTGATAATATCCTGTGGCTTGCTGTACTGGCTGCAATACTGTCTCAGCTATAAAGATGTGGTACTCTAACTCACTTCTGCAAGAGCTGGTAGGTGTAACACCCTGTAAGAAAACAGTATTTCAAAAAATAATGTACAGTGACTCAAGATTTTCTTTTGGCCCAGAACCTGTACTTGAACATAAAACCTAGCCTAGCTGCTACTGAGGCATATTAAAGAAGTGAAACAAAATTAGGCTGACCCCTACTGAAGACCTAGACCCTGGAGAAAACAGCAAGTAATGAGGTCGGTGCTGCTATTTGAGCAGGTGAATCACTTAAGGCAAATTTGGCTCCTTTTCAAGGGAGCAGAAAAAACAGGCCAAGTCAGCACTCACTGCTGCATTGAGAAATACAAGTCAGGAGGACTCTGCACTGCTGTGCTTTCATCCTAAAAAGGTTAGTCCAAACTGGCACCATATCAGTGGAGATAGGAAGGCTCTCATGGTGCTACGTTCTGCTTAGACTCAGATGATCTAATAAAAATTAATTTATCTGTGCAGCATGAGGAAGTCTGAGTACAGAAGTGTGGAATGGTGCAGGAACTGAATGGTGACAAAGACAAAAACATGTTTTTCTGATGCAGACATGGAGTACTATACTTTCCAAAAAATTAACATGTATCATGATCACTCTCCCCCTGAATTGAGGCCATGGAAAGTAACTCCTCACAAGTAATCTGCCAAATAAAAGTTAAAATTATAAAAATTTGTGAGGAACATTATTGACCTGAAGCCCTCAGTGAGCAGGCTCTTGACAATATGAAAAGTCTAGAGGCCAAAGTCTCAACAGCCCACTCTTACCTATGACTTCCTTTTTTGTTGTCAAAATCACACAGTGCTTTGGAAAACACAGGCTGTTCTGTCTCTTTCTTACTAACTGACTTCTAATTTTGGTGGTAACTGCCAGTTATAAGGCTGGGTCAAACCCTAGCACAAACTCAATGCAGATATTCTGAAAAACTGTGACAGCAACAGCTGGGACAGGACGCTAAGAAAAAGGAAGGATTTTTTCAAAAGACCATGCAAACATACAGATCTTGCTGTAAAAAAAACACTGTGTGATAAAAAGACTGCATGATATCACATTGCTGTACAATGTCTAAGGAAACAGAACATGAACCTGCTCTCAGAAATGCATAGCCATAGGGGAACTGAGCACAAAACTTTAGCTTCATGATTATACTAACTTTTGGAGGTTTGTGCATTTAACATAGATTTTTGTGCACACACACAGAGATATATGCAAACAGGTAAACACACAGAAAAATCTAGATATCTGCACTGCTTTGGGTTACATTTAGCTTCCTTACAGTCAAGCAACAGCAATGGAATTCAAATGCTAATTACTTCTGAATCCAGCCTTAGGCATGTATTACTTAACCAAACACTGGCAGATATTTATACTCAAATGCATAGCATCACTCTGCATTGTTTCAGTTAACTGAGACTAATTCTATATGAAACTTATTTCCTTTGTTATTCCTTTCCTGTTCAAAATGTGCCTAAAAGTTATTTTGTTTAAATCGACCTGTGTGTAGAGAACACACCCTTTTTTTTTTCTTGAACCCAAATATTATTATGATCACAGAAATTTATTACTGTAAGTAAGTTCATTGTGATCAGTAAGTACATGCACAGATGTATACATACATACACAGATACACACACACACAGACATAGAAACTTTATAGTACAGCTATACAGGTCACATTTATGCTAATAAAAGTCTTTTTAAAATACTAAATACTGATTAGCTAATCTTCCTGCAGTGTTTTCCTTCACTTACCTGAATTATACCACTTCTCTTGCCCTGTGGTAGCCTTTTCCTGGAGTTCACCTGCTGCCAGCTCCGTTTGTCTGAGGCCACTCCTGATAATGCTGCCGGTTACCTCGTTGGGTTGTAATTCTTATACCTAAGTTCCTTCCCACTGATTTGTCTACACCAGACCTGCCCAGCTTCAATTGTTTACTCCTCAGAAGGTCTTCTCAGCTGTCTCCCCAGGGAGAGGAGATGACTGGAGTGTACATCCAACACGTTAGAGGGCAGGTAGGCACACACTTGTAGAACGGGTCTGCCTGCCTTCCAGGCACCTGCTGCTCACCTGCTGCTGACAGAGACAGGCAAATCAGAGTCCTAAGGCAGGGACCTGGAGCGTCATTTGAAAGGCAAGCAACCACAGAGCAGGAAGGACAGGCTAACATAATAAATAAAAACCACACACTTCACATTACAGGGTCATGTTCAGAAAAAAAAAAAAGGCTCTCGGAACAGAAAATCTGTGCAAAACCCCTACAACTCCAGACACTGGAAGAGATTTCAGTGTCCTGTGTTATCAGGAACACAATCTGCAGATGATGAAAAAGAGAAAATATTAATAATACAAATCATGCTACAACAGACAGCAGCAACACAGGCTTGATTCACATTCTGCCTTGCTCATTCAACTCCTCCAGCTTGGTCTGTCCATGCATTCTGGCACCATTTTCCAGCCCTGCCATGAGCTCTCCCCTGCCCTTTCCTCCCACCAGTTCAGCCTGCAGCTCCTGCACAGCCCTGGCAATGATCCTCACTTACAAAACCCCTCCTGAGCTCCCAAACCACACTGGAGAATATTTCTGAAGTTGCCCTCTGCCCTTTTCTGCTATGATGTCATTGGGGTGACCACTGCGCTGTACTGATGCACTCAGTTCTCAGGAGCTCTGAGGTGTAGTCTTCACTGCACCTCAGTTCCTCAACATTTTACTTCTGGGGACCCTCTTTCCAAACAAGCTGTGAATGCAAGCCCCAGCTGCTGGTCTGCTTTCCCCTATCACTGAATTAAGAGTTTCAGATTCCTGACTCCTGGTTATATGCGTCTGTACAAGATTATTTGCTTACCTACTTTATACAAGTGAGAGGCAGCTGTATTACAGTAGGAAACAATGAGACCCATTGTTGAGAGACAAACTTCGCACAGACAACACCACAATACAGGTGGCTTTGGGAAGATGAAGAAGATGATACATTCTCTGCCATGATTTTGAGCAAAACTTCCCTACTTCTGTTAACACTTTGGTGCTGCATACATTACGTTGTGGGAAAATTTTAGTTGCAGTAGAGGCACTAGATTTAGATACTGAGACATAATTTATCCATAAAAGCGACCACATATCAATGTATTTGTACATGTCCTTAACTTCTCTCTGGGATTATTCTTTCAGCTGGCATTTACTATCCATATGCACAAAACAGTGAAAACTAGGAGTGATTTTATTCATTGCTTGATCTCCCTACAGAGACTGGCAGCAGTGGGCAAAATAGCATTAGTGAAACAGCTCTGCGCTGTGGACTTTCATCCCCTAAGAATCCAGGAGAGGCACCTTTTAGATAGAGAAATTTCTTGTGTTAGAAAGATCACAACAGTTGCAGAGTTCAGGCTCAGACTCCAGTTTCAGCTTTTCCTCTTATTCTGGTACTAACTTGCACTGACTTTCAGCAAAATTTTCTCCATGAAGGAGCAGAGGACCTGTTCTATACATCATTCCCCATTAAAACGTGGCTAAAATGCAATGGACAGTTCCTTATTTAAATGGGTTTTATACTGAGATGCGTTACTTTCCACAGGCACCTTCCCCAAGGGTACCTGGGGAACCTATCTGCATTCCTATTTCAAAATAGTATAATTGGAAATATTCCCCCTTTTGCGCCTTCCTTCACACTCTCTACAGCCCTCAAACTGTAGAAGAAAGAGGGGGAGGCAAAGGCTTAACATTCAAGGTCTGCATATGCAAAAGTAGCAACCACTGCTGCTTTTAGCTCCTCCAGTCAGTCTCTGCTGCGCTCCCAGTCTGACTGGTTGGAAAAGATATTTTATCAGTTCAGAGTTCAGCCCTCAGACTATATAATCTTCCTCACTGATCCACAAGCCCCTCCTCCAGCAGTCATTTAGTGACACGTTTTGTCTTGTGAAAAAGAAACTTTTCCTGTTCTAAGCCTTGTATTGCATGCACATCCACAAAGAAAACACTGCCTGTTTAAATGCCTCTCTCCTCTGTTTCTTCCTCAGGCAAGTATGACCAGGCACACTGAAATGCAGTAACTGGCAGTCTTACTAACAAAAACATCCTCTCTGTCTCCAAGACAGATATAGCATAGTGAGCAATCACCCAAACCACACACAGCTGCTCAGTAGCCTCAAGATGTGTTTTTGGGACTAAGCATCAATTCAACCATAAACCATTCAGTCTTTGTCCTATGTGCTGGGACTGCTGACAAGGGTGCTGCTTCCAGTAGGAAAGCATACCCCAAATAACTGCTGCTGGACCAGAAAAAGGTCCCCTTCTTAAATGTCACTGCAGTATTCACTTTTTCTGTAGTAATTTTGAGGTCTCTGACTTACTTTCACATCCCAATGTAAGATTTAAACCTGTGGCTTATAGTTGATTACTATAACTGATAGCTATAACTATAGCTGATAACTCTAACTGACAACTGTAACTGATCTTTGGGTCAACTTGAGCCCATACAGATTGAAAGCCTCAGAACCGTTTCTTTTGTTTCTGCAAGTCAGCTATAAACCCCCAAATCAGAACAGATAATCTAGAAGTAAAAGGAGATTTCCCATAACTATTCCAAGTCCCTGTTGTGCCTCACGAGCTTTGCCTCTCAAGATGGCAGGTCTTCCGGCTTGAGAACAATTCATATGCCTATTTAAATTTAATTTTTCTTTAAAATGGTGCCTCTAGTGTGATTTTCAGTTCATCCCTTCAGTTTCATCCTTTAAAATTTCCAAAGGAATAAAGGCTAGGAGAGGGGAGCATAATATGAAAAGAAATAGAGAATTAAAAAAAAAAAAAAAAAAAGTTTGTCCTTAGAAAAATGAAATGCCTGAAGGATTATGCATCAATCTTCTTCAGCCAGTTGAAGGTCAAGTAAATCTAGCACCTCCTCTATTTAGGGTTAGGCCCTTCTAATAACAGTATTTTCCCTCCACTTTCCTGCCAAATTAGACTTTATGATTCCCAACTCTTAAATCTAAATGGAAATTTCATTTGCACAATTTCATGCAATCACTGGGTCTGGACATCCCTCCCTTCCCAAACCAGATGCTCAGGAAAGCCCCTGAAAGTTGGTTAGATGCTGTAAGTAGGCTACAGTACTGTTTTCCACTTTGGTTTCTTCAGAAAATTTTCCAGGCCCAGAAGCTGGGATTCATCCAACACAGGTGAAAACTAAGTTGGGTCACAGCTGCCCTAGCATCTCTGTATTGTTAATACAAGATCACAAGAACTTCTGTAAAGCATTTCAAGTACTAAAATCCTCTCTCCCTACAGTAATATCACAAAGGGTACAAAGCTGTTGATTTACAAGTCTTGGACAAATATCAGAAGTTAGATGCCATATGTTTGTGCAAAATTCCATTCGCTTCCTCTTCTCCAAAGAAGTAACTTCCATGAACAGGAGCTCTTGGGGCAGCGTAACTCGGTAGCTTGGCCACAGCCTCTCCCATACCCCAGGGTTGATAGATGAAGTGTTAGACTTTAAGTAAAGTGCAGCATGTATCCCATACATTTAGTTATTCTGTCTAGTTCCTAAGTTCCTAGTGTCCTGAGCAAACAACATCCTGAGGATATACTATTCTGTTACTTTTACCTTTTCTCTTTTAGTTTCTTATATTCGTTTTGTCCAAGTTATACATTTTCCTTTCAAGTTCCTGCTCTTTGGCACCACATTTTTACACTGTTCACATCTTCCTGTGAGAACTCCACAGCTCCTCTTGGCAAAACCTAGAAGTTGGTGAACAGACCTTTAGTGACCCAAACATCCAGTCTCAGGAGGGAATAAATTGCAGGGCTCCACACATAAAGAAACCCTTCAGTTGCCGGCTGCTGGCCGTGACTTGGGGCGGGCAGCGAAGGAGGGTGAGAGGACGCCCTGCTAACATCAGTACATGCCGATGGGGCCGCAAGCAGGGGTAGCGGTTACCTCCTGTGGTCCAGACTCCGGGGAAGGGCAACTACAGCACCGCAACAAGCAGGGGGAGAGGAGCTGCGCAGCAGGCCCGAGCAGCCCCAGGGGACAGGGGACTGGCCAGGCAGGCTGACGGGCCGCCGTGCCGCGGCCGAGGGCCGGCTGCGGGTGCGATGGAAGGAGGGGCAGTGCGGGACAAGGAGCCACCTCCCCGCTGCGGCGCTGAGGGGGCAAACACTTGCTTTTCCCTTCCTGTCTGTCGGCCGCCTAACCCTTCACACAAGTGCTTGTTTTCGTGAAACACAAAATTAATCGAACCCGTGAGCTCGCGGGGAGAGCGGGCCGGAGAGCGCAGAGTGAGCGCTTTTCTTGGTGTTCCGTTCCCGCCCGCTCCTGTTGCCACCAACGCTCGCGAGGGGACCTCGGCCCGGAAGGCGGGGAGCGCGGGGCCTTCGCGCCCGGGAGCTACGTGGAGGGGCCTGAAGGGCGCCCTCCGGCGGTTCGGTGGGGTAAAGTGCCCTCTGACGGAAGGCCGCCTCCTCGAGCGGGCCTGAGGCTCGGCCGGGTCACCGGTCAACACGGTGTTCCCGGGGGAGACTACAGCGTGCCCGCTCCGCGGTACAGCAAACGGCTTGGGGCTTCTTAAGGTCTCTGGGGTGAAGGGTGTGCGGCACACAGTTACCTGGTGAAACTGGTTGTGTGAAGAGACCCTTGAAAGCCCAGAGCGTTGATAAGGCTTGGTGTTGCTTTAAAACACCACTGCACTGTTACAAACTTGCATTTCTTCCATATTTACCATCATAAAAAAAAACAGAAACTGGATACTCATTAACCCAAGTTTGATGAATCGCATGTAAGAAAAGAAATTTGACAAAAGCCATGCCTGCTGCGTGAGGTGTCCAATGACGCTCCTCTGGCTCAGTCATAGCTTCATCCCATCCACCAGTGGTTTTCAGGAAACAAAATTAAAGGCAAGGCTGTGTGTCACATTTTCAATTACTATTACAGAATCTTAGAGCCATAGAATAGTTTGGATTGGAAAGGACCTTAAGAATCATCCAGTTCCAACCCCCTGCTGTGGGCAGGGTCATCTCACACCAGACCATGTCACCCAAGGCCCTGTCCAACCTGGCTTTGAACACTGCCAGGATGCTTATATGGTGACAGAACTTAGTGTATGCAGTTACCCAGGTGTAGTGTGCAAGTGTGAAATACAGTAAGCAAATGGGGATTTTGCAACTAACTTTGAAATCAGGAATTGCCCTGCATCAGAGTATCTGGGAGATAAGCCTGAAGACAATTGGAACAGGGTAACAGATAAAATTTTCCGATGAAGCATTTGACACAGTGATCTTTGTCATTATTCATACCAAAAGTCTTTATCTGGCACAAACACAGCATATTTGAGTGTAAATCTTTCTACTTAAATTCACTTCAAAATGGGGTGAAAGTAGAATGTAGCATACAGGTGATAACAAGTAACTCCAAGGGCAGATCCTTAATGAATTCACATGTAAATTAAACATTTATATACATATTGGATTTTATTTTTAATTTATTGCAATGTTACTTTCAACTGTGAAAATCAATTCATTTCAAAGTAAAATAAAGCATGAAATTCCTGGTTTCCTTGTAGATGGCCGAATCAGAAGTTCAGGAAGAAAACTATGATAACATGGTAAAGATGATGGAGGAACTGAAAAGAGATTTAGAAAAACTCCTGGATGAAATGGAAAAACTAACAGGTACAGGTCTTTCTTAAGAATGATAGCGATTTGTCTGCTAGAGGAAAGACATTGAAGATGTATTATTTATACTTACTGCTGTAAACTTCCATGTGATAGAAATTTAACTGGAAACAATCACCATCAGCTAATGCCCTCATGTTGTCAACTGGGAGAAAGCATGCAAATAATCTAGAAGTTTCAGGTGGCTCAGAACTGAAAATTTATAGGTCATTAAATCTGATGCTCAGTTCAGAGTTGTGGTTGAAAACAGAAATAATACTAAGATATGTAATGTACAGTTATTAAATCATAGTATGCAAGATGAGATTTAAGCCTGAAAAATGGTGGGATTCATAGTGATCTTGGGTCAGCACATGACATGTTTAATTCCTTAGCTAGAATAAAGACTCCTCTGTAGATTTAACCTTAGTCCTATATGTATGGAAAGGACTGAATATTCTTCTGCATGTTCTGCAACCATTCCATCAGACACTGTGCAACTAACAAGAATAGATGGAAACTGTTCATTAAACTATTTTGCACTACATGAAGCACAATCCGTGACAGTGAGAAAACTACAGACAATTTATAATACAACAAAAGGAAAGTATGAAATAAGGGCTAAAACTATTTGCTCTGCTTCATGAGATACTTACTATTTAAAAATCAATTCCATTATTTAGGTTGGTTTTAAAACCTTTTATCTCTGTGCTGCAGCCTCCTTGATCTTGCTCCTTCTCACCTAACATGAACCTCCTGATTATAACTGGTCTGGAGATCTGGAGAGAGGATTCTTTGGTTCATTTATTTTAAAACAGTCTGTTGAACATTTCTTTTTGATTGCCTGTTTTGTTGTAATTTTCAGGTAAAATGTCTCTCTCCCTTCTGTAATTTACATCAGTATTACTTCCATTCTGAAGCATTTTGAGACATTTATAAAGCAGCAATATTGAGCAGTCTTTTATTTAATCTTGAGTATTTCTGTGGGCAATTTCCACTTTATTATACAGCAAGCCTTCTCTGACACAGGATCTGAACTGATAAAAATTCATGTTCTTTATTCATTTATAGAATCAGCTATTGCTTTTATTTAGCCAGAAATTCCTGGCTTAGCTTTATCTGTTGGATTTGCAGTGGGGGCAACCTGGATGGCATTTGACATGGTGGTCATGCGTACCAACCTCGACCTGGCCAACTCCATGAAGCGTCTGGAAGATGCCTTCCTGAATTGCAAAGAAGAGATAAAGAAATGGCAAGAAGTGCTAATGGAATTTAAAGGTGAAGAGCAAAAAAAAGAGTAAATTGAATTCAGTCATGCTCAGAGAACTCCAACCCTTGGAAAATCACTCCAGTCTTATTTGTGGAGGTTTCACAGATACTGTGGAAAATGGATTGGCTTTTACCTTCCTAAGAATACTTACGTGTATACATCTATGGAAGTATTTTAATAAGATTATACATACATATATTTATAATTGCTGAAGGTAAAAGGTAACAATGTGTCTATTTTTATCGTGCTCATCAGTAATCCTTGTGGTGTGTACACATACACAACTTGCATGCCTTCTGCGTCTTTCTCCCTGGAAGATCATACTCATCAATATCTATGGAATTCCTTGATACCTGAACAAGTGACAGGGTGTGTGTTGTGTGTATGCAGACAGGGTGCAGTGAACCATTACAGTGATATTGCACTAGCACATGCCTTCCAGGGAAAACCGAAGAATTTCTTGTATTTCCCAATGCAAAACAGGTGAAATTCTAGATTTGCAGATAGATTGAGTTAATTAGATGTGGGATTGCCAAGTAGGTGTTCAGTTAAAGAGGTTTTTTTTTTAGATAGCTCCTCTGTGGTTGTTTCATTTTGCTTCCTTGGATTTTTAACCATTTCTTTGGACTGGCTTTCCCAGCAAAATTGTTCTTCTCAAACCTCTGAAGGTAGGTAGCATACCTCATTTAGGAGAAAATTGTTCACCATTATAAACTGCCCTGTGTGTGGTGTAGTTTGTAAGATTGCTGCAGAAACCAAACTAACCACATCATATGACATGCTTGTGTGCTCCTACTGCACAATACTAAAAAAAGAAGAAAAAATGAAGTTATTTCCTTCTGCAGACAAGGTGTGGACTGAGAGCAGCAGCTTGTGGCTTGCAGTTAATGCATTAACAGAGTATCTGAGATGGAAGTCAGTTCAAGCTTTAAGACAGATCTTCCTTATCATTAAAATCAGTCTCTTTTAACTAGAAAATAAGCACCATGTAGCGAGAGCACCTCCATCCGCTTTGAAGAGGCATTTCATTATCTGAATCACATCTAAATTACCTGTCAAAAGATTTTTAGGCTATATTCTTGATTCACAGACAGAATGTTTATCTCAGTGAAGCGAAAAATAAGTAATTTCACTTTTTTCCCCAAAGCTATTTTTTTCTAGAGGTGCAAATGGTAAAGAACATAAACCTCTACTCTTGACTTTTCAGTGGACAGGTCTTCATTCCAGCCAAAGTAGGGCAAAATGGCAGAGCAGCATGAGGTAACTTAGATTTCAGTTAATCTCTGGAGGATTTTTAATGCCATGTTGTCACTTCGGTACCCTTGACTACATTGTCTTCATTCTTCAATTCTATATTAAAACCAAAGTCTTTGAAAATGCACTGTCTTTAACAGCTTGTGTAGGAATCTACTGAATTTTGTGATTTTTGTCTGACTTTTCAGCCATAAAGTGCTACACTTGAATTGACTTGAGATTTTCCAGAAAGCTCAGTTTTCATTCAGACATTCAAAGCAAGTAGCCAGTGTTTTAAAAAAAAACAAACACCAAATTGTTTGAATCTAGGAATCCCATTTTGATTTGAGAATAGTGCTCAAAACCAACACTTCACAAAACGTCTCTTAATTATGACAGTAGTGATGTTGAATCCCGTTTCCCATGGTTGGAAGGCTGCAATAAGTCTGTCAGAATATTGTTTCTCCAGAGCAAAGGGTCAGAGTGTAGCTGTAAGGAAAGGAGGCATCTGGTAACATTCTTTACAGTCCTCAAGTCTCATCACATTACAGTATTTCCTTTTTGAAGTTTGGAAAATGCTTAAAAATGGATATTGTTTTGAAGTATAACTGTAAGGCATTATAGCACTAACAACAGATGGCATTAAGAGCACCTTAACTTTCTCCTCAGAAAAAAGCGGACAAATTATAGGCTACTAACCATCAAGCACCAACTCAGTCTCAAGTAGAGGTGTTTACACTGAGGTACCATGCTACCCTGCTGTGAAGGAACAGTGAGTTAGCAGCATGGGTGTTGTGTACACCTGTGAAGACAGTTTAAGAAAGCTGGGGCTGTTCAGCCTGGAGAAGAGAAGCTGCGTGGAGACCCCACAGCAGCCTTCCAGTATCTGAAGGGGGCCTATAAGGATGCTGGGAAGGGACTCATCATTAGGGACTGTAGCGACAGGACAAGGGATAATGGGTTCAACAGAGAAGTTCAGGTTAGATATAAAGAAGGTCTTTACTGTGAGAGTGGTGACGCATTGGAACAGGGTGCCCAAAGAAGTGGTAAATGCCCCATACCTAGCAGTGCTCAAGGCCAGGTTGGAGAGAGCCTTGGGTGACATGATCTAGTGGGAGGTGTCCCTGCCCATAGGAAGGGGGATGTAACAGGATGATCTTAAGGTCGTTTGCAACCCAAACCAGTCTATGATTCTACGATAATATGGCTGGCCGAGTAGGCTAGGTCTGCCTCTTTCTCCCCAACAGTTCCTTTCCAGCTGTATGATGATAAGCAGAGGAGAGTTTGGGATATGCACCAGCATAGGAACAGTGCATATGCCTTGAAAAACTATACACCAAGATGATTATACTTTTCCGTTACTACTGAAATAATCTGTGCATGTTTTTGGTTGCCCTTTTTTTGTTTTTAAACTTTTCCTTGAGAATCTGACTGTGGGAATTGTGAGTTTTGTTTCAGACATCTCACCATCAACTAAATTTCAGCCCAGCTAGATGCTTTAGAGGAAGGAGAAAACAGCCCACACAGGAAATCAGGGTGTTTCAGTCACAGGGTTTTATATTAATTTTCAGTAAAAACTATGTGGAACAACAGCTCCATCTGGTGCTCACACAACTATAGCAGTAATCTGGATTGCTGGGTTGACATCTCTTAATCCCCCATCATCAAAGCCTTCTGTATTGAAAAGTGTCAGCAGCAGTTTGGCTTTATGTTCACTGTAAGTGAACTCCACTTTCATGACCTTTCCGTTACTCACAGGTGCTTCCTGTACTGTATTTAAGGCAAAGCATTCTTCTACAAAACTGCTACAGAAGCAAGAGAAGTTGGCACCAGTGCACTGCCAATTTAGATGCCAAATACAGCAGTAAGGGACTTTGTTTCCTTTGTAATTCATTCCTTAGCCTCTGCTAAGTAACGCTTAATAAGCATGTCTCGAATCAGCTAAAATGTACTGTTGCTTGATTGGTTAGTTTTTCCTCATTATGCAGACCCCTGGACAGGTTCTGGAACCTGTATGCACCCTGCTTCATTTTGCATGAGCTGATAGGCCAACTCTTATTTCCATCAAGGAGTGTGTGAAACTTAGCAAAGAAGTTATGGACTCAACTCTTAGAAACCTACTAAGGGTAGCAGATGCTCTGGTGTTAAACACTGCAGCGGCTTTACTGTCCTTATCACAACAAAATTTACTGATCTTAGTTGTGAACTTAACCTGTGGGCAAGATGAGAGGGTCTACACCTAAGAGCAAACTGTCCAAGAGCCATCAAACTGAGCCACCACCAAACTGAGCCATCTGGTCTGAACCGCCTGCAATCACATAGCTCAAAGCACATTCCTCTTCTACATGTGAACAGCTATCTTCCCTCTAAGACAGAGGCACACAAAGTGTCCTACAGCTCCTTTTTTTCTAGCAGCTCAGGTGCTACTGCATGCATCGGAGGTATGTGGATTCTCAACACTTTGAGTTTCTGTTAACAGCTTTCTAGCAAGAAACAAATAAGAAATGGCTAAAAGCCTCCCAAAAAATTCTTATGGGTGAAACTGCCCTTCTCTCCAGTGTAAAACAACTGAGAAGGTGTTGTAGTCATTTCACTACAAGGCAGCTCAACCCTTGCCAAATTGTGGCCTACAGCTTTGGTTAGGTTATGAATATCATTTAGTACTAGTGCTTTCCTATTCTTTACTATTATAGCCCCAATTCAGGTTACCTCAGCCAGGGTCAAGAAGAGAATTTGTACTAGCTGTTCTATTTGGCATTGTTTAAAAATCTCACTCCAGATCCTTGCAGCAACTTTTCCCTGATATGCATATGAAGAGATGATTGAACCTGTAACAGCCTATTTACACATGCTAGTATCAACATAATGTTCTTTTTGCTGGCATCCTTAACAGAGAAGCAAAGAGCTTATTGAGAAAAAAGCGGGTGAACAATATTCCTTCAGTCAGTCTTTTTCTCCAGAACAAGGACCTTATTACCTAGGCTCTATCAGCAGGAAAAGTGTCAGGGCCTTTTCTGTGTTCATTCTATTAATACTGACTTCTTTTTTACAGCTCTGCCTCCTCCCTGCTTCTGCACTTACAATTTTTAACAGAAACATTATTTTCTCATTTTCTTGTTTCTGATAAACTATCAATTGCTTGCCTGGTTTTCTGTAGGTGCTTTGGATCTGAATCATTGAAATAGGCACATTGGCAGTAAGACTACAGGGGTCTGAAATGCCATGTGATTTTACACATGGATTGAGTTCTGCTAACTGGAAAACTATTGGTGACTCCTCAGAAAGTCAAATGGTGAATAAAAGGGACACATGGCATCTTCCCCTTTACAGAAAGCCAGACTAAATAAAGGCATGTAGAGGCACTAGTTAGAGCAGGTACATTTAGTGACTGTTAAAGCTTTTGTGCCACATTTGGGATGCCATCCCAAGATTATGAAATAACTGGGATTCTACATACAGCTAGTTACATACACCAGCACCACATTGCGCAGAGGATTTTAGAAGAAGAAAGGCAAGATTTAGAGGCCATTAAAAACTGTTAACAGCATTCTGCAAGCCATGGACAAAGTTGTGAATATTGTATGATGCAAGTGAAAATAATTAGCTAGAGCAACACTGAGCAGTAACCACAGAACACAGACCTTCTAAGACACTGGAAACAAAAGCCTATTACAGGTACACTGTACAAAGCGTATTTTAACTCTTACCACCTAACTGCTGCTACCTAATATGTTAAAACAGTAGAAGGTGGATTTTAACTTGAGGTGCATCTAAAGTTGGGTTCTAGGCTGCTGCTAACTGCTTATCTGACTGCATGGATCAACACACATTTAACCCATACTTTGATTTTTTTTGAGAGCAGATCTTTCTGTACTGTAGACACACACTGTACGGCAAATCATCCTTGAGTAAATCTAAGGACATGTGTGGTGCCACAAAAACCATAATTTACAAGTCAAAATTCAAGACTGACAGTCAAGCACTGATGCATTTTGATAATCAGAAACAGGATGAAGCTCTGAACATTCTATAGATCTTTCCTATCATGTTTTAAAACTTTGAGATATTAGAAGTAATTATTCATCTCACCATAATGGTAATAAGTTATCAGGATCAATTTTCTACCCCATGCATTGTAGTCTAGCTCTAACACTCCAAATGACAGCTGCATCACTCCACTATTGTCAACAGCACAAACTAAGAGTGCAAGCTGCCACTTGTTTGCCATGGCCTCCAAAGCTTTCTCATCGCCTCTATGCTTGAGCAAGGATCCCACTGCTGCTTGGCTTGTGTAGCCATTCCCACCCTCCAAGTTATGTCTGACCACCTCAGAATGTGGTTTCTCCAGAATCCCAGCAATGAAGACTAGCTGGTCCTCCAAAAAGCCAAACTAGCAGAAAAGATAATGTCTAAAGCAGTGACTTTGAACTCAAGACCTACAAACAGCCTTTTAAAAAAGCAGTAAGAAATGAATGTCAGACTTGCAGTTTTCCACTTTCATTGGAAGTTTCCATAGATCTACAAATTGAAGAGTTTGAAAACCACTGTTCTAGAGTTACTTGGGTCACTGCAACTCTTATTACCCATATCACCTGCAAGTTCATGATAGCATTCTATGGGGGAGTCTCAAGCATGTGCCCCAGCAGGAAACAAGTATGCACGTAGCTTTGCCATAAGGGCTGTGAAAACAAGTTCTATGTAGCACAGATTTAATTTCCAAAACCTTTCCAGCTGCAGCAGAAAGTCTGTTTCACTTCCAAAGCATTCATTGAATGGCTTGAAAGTGAAATGCAGTACCTGTGGACTGTCCTCCCATGGAAGCCGGTGGGAAGGGCTGCACAGAGATAAAACTTCTTCATTGAAGAACAGTGTAAGTATACATACTTCTCTGAATCAATGTCTCATCACTGCAAGACTTATGTTTAAGTGAAAATGCACAAAGGCCTACAGCACTGTCTTCTTCCCTTCCTTATCCTCCTCAAAAGATCACAAGCCACAGGGAATATTTTCGCAGCTACGTAACAGCAGACAGCAGCCTTCACAAAAGCAAAAAGCCTGGGTGCAGCCAAGCAGGCAGAGTATTATGAAAACACTGTAAAATGGTGATGCCATGAAAGCATAACCCACTCCAAGTGTAAGCCATTACAAGTGCCTAAGAAAGGGAAGAATGCTGGAATGAAAGAATGAACATAGTACAAAAGCAGTGGCTCCCAGTAGGTATAAAATTATGTTAACTACTCTGCAAATTCAAAATCTTTGTAGCTAAAAGACTTTAAAACAAACCAAACTTACAAACTAAGCACTCATCTAAAGTCATGCTCGACGTAAACAACCACAGCTTTATTCACCTAGAGAAGCACCACTGAGCACCAGTTTTAGATTTCTTCAGCCAAAGATAAGCTAACAAGAGAACAAGTAGCCTGGTAAGGGAACAATTTATGCCCAGCCTGAGACAGCCAAAACGTAATTTCAGTGACTATTTTAAGACTTGCTCAAGCTGAGCCTGTATTTTCATAACTAGGAAATCAAGGATCAAGAAGGCAGTATCAGTCACACGCTTCTGTTTTATGCAAAGATTCTTCTTATCATAAAGGCAGGACTAAAATAACAGAAATAGAACTAGACACTAGGGCACTACTTGCATCTCTTCCTCACTTTCTCCTTTCATGAAGTACAGGCAGCTACTTACGTGCTTCTGCTCCATTGACTTGATAATGACTACATTTTTGCAGAGATTAATTCTTTTGTCTGACAAATCTCACTTTAAGAAAAAACACTCTGAACAACTGAAGGCAGCTCAAGTAGTTTATGACAAGCTCTGCAGTAATGTTTCAGTATTTATGACTGTTATACATCTGTTTATATTAGGATGAAACTGCCAAGCTCACCCCAGTCTGCCTGAAATAGATTTAGTACTGAACAAAACTGAAGCCTACTAAGGATTGTCCTGCTTAAGAAATTTTAAAAGGTATATTACTTATGTTTTCCTCACCTTATTAAACTTTATTGTCAGAACAACCATATTCTTAATTTTCCAAGGGAAGGCATTAGAATACCACTGTGTCCACCTCCACATCTTTCCCAGCCTACAGGATTGTCAGGCTCAGTGCAGCAAATCAAGTCGCACAGCAACTCTTGTATAGAATCATAGAATAATTAGGGTTGGAAAGGACCTTAAGATCATCTAGTTCCAGCCCCCCTGCCGTGGGCAGGGACACCTTACACTAAATCATATCACCCAAGGCCTCGTCCAACCTGGTCTTGAACACTGCCACGGATGGAGCATTCACAACCTCCCTGGGCAACCCATTCCAGTGCCTCGCCACCCTAACAGGAAAGAATTTCCTCCTTATATCCAATCTAAACTTCCCCTGTTTAAGATTTAACCCCTTACCCCTTGTCCTATCACTACAGTCTCTAATGAAGAGTCTCTCCCCAGCATCCCTATAGGCCCCCTTCAGATACTGGAAGGCTGCTATGAGGTCTCCACACAGCCTTCTCTTCTCCAGGCTGAACAGCCCCAACTTCCTCAGCCTGTCTTCATATAGGAGGTGCTCCAGTCCCCTGATCATCCTCGTGGCCTTCTCTGGACTTGTTACAACAGTTCCATGTCCTCCTTATGCTGAGGACACCAGAACTGCACACAATACTCCAGGTGAGGTCTCACGAGAGCAGAGTAGAGGGGCAGGATCACCTCCTTCGACCTGCTGGTCACACTCCTTTTGATGCAGCCCAGGATACGGTTGGCTTTCTGGGCTGCAAGCACACACTGCCGGCCCATGTTCATTTTCTCATCAACCAACACCCCCAAGCCCTTCTCTGCAGGGCTGCTCTGAATCTCTTCTCTGCCCAACCTGTAGCTGTGCCTGGGATTGCTCCGACCCAGGTGTAGGACCTTGCACTTGGCATGGTTAAACTTCATAAGGTTGGCATCAGCCCACCTCACAAGGGTGTCAAGGTCTCTCTGGGTGGCATTCCCTCCCTCCAGCATATCAACCGAACCACACAGCTTGGTGTCATCAGCAAACTTGCTGAGGGCACACTCAATCCCACTGTCCATGTCAGCGATGAAGATGTTAAACAAGACCGGTCCCAAGACCGATCCCTGAGGGACACCACTCATTACTGGTCTCCAGCTGGACATTGAGCCATTGACCACAACTCTTTGTGTGCGGCCATCCAGCCAGTTCTTTATCCACTGAGTGGTCCATCCATCAAATTGATATCTCTCCACTTTAGAGACAAGGATGTTGTGTGGGACAGTGTCAAACGCTTTACACAAGTCCAGGTAGAAGACATCAACTGCTCTACCCCTGTCCATCAGTTCTGTAGCCCCACCATAGAAGGCCACCAAATTGTTCAGGCAGGATTTCTCCTTAGTGAAGCCATGGTGGCTGTCACCAAGCACCTTGTTGATTTTCACGTGCCTTAGCATGCCTTCCAGGAGAATCTGCTCCAAGATTTTGCCAGGCACAGAGGTGAGACTGACTGGTCTGTAATTCCCTGGGTCATCCATTTTCCCCTTCTTGAAAAGGGGGGGTTATATTTCCCTTTTTCCAGTCATCAGGAACTTCACCTGACTGCCATGATTAAATCAATGTCCTTTCAGAACTGCTGTGTAAGTGCTGCAATGGCAGGTTGCACTGCATAAGCTTGTAGCAGATACAGCTATGTGTATGTACTCAAGGGAGTCAGAAGCATTCTTTTTCCTGAAGCAAGCCTGCAGCTTTCAACTCACACCTCAAAAGGTTTCTAGTTCATTGCAAAACCAATCCCTTATGGCATCACTAAACCTTCCCCTCCCAAGGCAAAGGCAACAAGGGTACAAGGGCCATTCCTCACCTTCCCAGGAGCTGGAAACTCAATTATGCCCTCAGCTCCCCTACTTCCCATTTCCTGAGGAGTAACATGGAAAAAGTGTGTCTCCAGAGAACCTCTGTATAATTTTTCATTAAGACTGTGCAAGAACAGGCAAACTAGAGGAGACAAGGACAGCAAGTACCTGTCTACATGCACAGTTACAGTGTGGCTTCAGCCCAAAGGGGCTTTACATGAAGTGTTATTCAGTAAATGTTGGGTAAAGATTGCATAGCTAAGAACAGAAAGATGTTTTAAGAAAAATATACTATCTAAGGTTTGGATAACAGAAACTGCAAGACAGGAGCGTGAGAAATGGTAGACTAGAGAATGAAGGACACAACAAGATAACTGAATACACACACCCGTATTCAACAGCTGGAAGCAGACTGATAACACTTGCAAGGCACCCAAGTTTTCAGGAGGGACATCAGAAAACCACACACATTTTTAAAGTGCCTTACTCCTTAACACAGAGGATTTTACTAGTTGCAAACAAGGGAAAGTGGAGAGGCTAGTAAAACATTGTCATTATCTGGAACAGAAGCTTGAATAGAGGGGCAGTTACTAAGCCTACTTTGTCTTTCTGAGCAGAGGAGTCTCAAAGCTTTATTCCACTGCCTAGAAAACAGATAGGGAAAACACAACATCCCAGCAACACGCTCCAAAGCCCCCAAACTCCTGCCACAAGATGGTAACAGAAAAACCCAACCACTAACACCATTTGAGCCAGAAAAGCAGAGAGGGCAGCATAGGGTATTAGGTCTGATGTGTAAATTCTCTGCAGAAGTTGTTTTGGCTTGAAGCAGATGCACCCAGCCTAGCCATATCCCTGCATGTTTATCCTTCAGCATGGTTTCAGACAAGATTCATCAACACACACTATACAGGCAGCTCTTATTTTCACACATAAATGCTGAAGCAGCAAGATTAAAATAATTAACCATTTTAAAAGTAAATGTGAAAAACATACTAAACCCAGACCATTTTGTAGTTGTCACTTTTATTTGTGAGGAACGTCACCCATGCTGCACAGTTTCAAATAGATCTTACAAAGGAAAGCGCAAGCTTCTCCTCCCCCTGTCCTGCAGCAATCAGGACTGGCACAGAAAAAAGAAAAACCTCATCACACCTGGGAGGTTCAGCACCAGCATCCAATAAAAAAAAAAAAGCTTTTCTTTCAATTTCAGTTTTTTGGTTGGTTTTTTTTTCTTCCCCTTTTCAGTTTGGTACCAAAAGAATAATTGAAGAATTCAATACTAGCAAAACAGTGAAATTTAAAACAAAACCACCAAAACCCAGGGTTGCTACTGAAACTGGGGAGGGTGCTCTGGCTGGATCTTGCTCTCTTGTCCTTCCTTCATGCATCTCTTGCAGGCGTTCCCTGGGTCTCAGCTGCTGGTACATGTTTAAGTTCCAATGGGTCAAATCTTTGCTTTTGTCATCACTGGTGACAATTTATTGCTTTGTGTGTTTCTTTGGTGTAACTTTTGAGTTGTATTTTAGGACACCTGTTGAAGAGCCAAATTGAAAACAACAGTGCAGTTTAAGTTTCATTTTCCTGATGAACAGATGGGATGTCAGGTGGAAAAGGAATTATCACAGAAAAAAAAGATAAGCATGACTAGAATATCCTGTCTGTAAGCTGAGAGTACAGTATCTTCCTAAAACAAAAACACTACTAACTGATCAGCAGATGCTGTTGCTGTATGGACCGGACAGATCTTCCTTGTACTTTGTGACAATTACAGAGGCAGAGGAAAGAAAGGAGAGAAAAGCAGCAACTGTTTTTGGTTTGCCTATACAGCATTCTCAGAAGTTATCACAAATATCTAATCATACATAAAGGGACGTAGCCAGAGGCCACATCCTACAAGTATACACCATGCTGCTTCAGCTGGAGAACAGGAACCATCTATATTTCTTACCTGAGGAATGGTAAAGGTGCCTGGGGAGCCGGACTTTAATCAGCACCACTCTGCTCGGTCACTGGACCAGGTTTTTCAGCAGGTGTTTCAGTTACCTTTGTCTGAGACACAATAAACCTTTATTATAGACACAGACTGACCTCCTGATGCTTCCTCTGTTCAGTGGTAGCATAACCCTGGTTTGAAAATAATCAAGGAAGATAAATCCTCTGAAAATATTAAGTATTACAAAGCAGCTTCTGTCAGGGGACTACCTCAAGTAGGTACAGAATGAGAAAGTCACTTGTCATTAAGGCAAAATCTGTGTTAGCAAACAGTTCCCTTAACTAATCTGGTTCAAGCTGTTCAGGAAATGGATCCAGACCTGTCAAATCTATCTTACACTACATACAAACTGAAGGTTTGAGGGAGCTGTAAAAAACAACTGTTTCTCTCCACTTCAAAAACATTTATTACAGTCTGACTTAAATTAAGAGCTATCCAGAAGCAACCCCTATCCCACTGCTGGCTCTATTTAAGGTAAGCTACTCATTCTCCAAGAAGATCACAAGGAACAGGCCAGATACCTTTAGTTACCAACACTTTAGACTTGACCAGACTCCTTTAGCACACCAGCTCCCACAGGACAGGTCTTGAACACTCGCCCCATTAAAACCTCAGTCTCTACCACAGTTGTGCCAGGAGTGTATTTACCTCTTTCCCATCCTGAGCTGGAGCATTGGGTGGACGAGGTCGACGCCTGTAGTTGTATGGGCGTCTATATCCACGACGAAGTGGCTGCTGACTCATAGCATTGGCTTCATGATGGTTCTCTTTGTTCTCAGCCTCTCCAGCCACTGGGGCAGGGCGTGGACGCGGGGGCCCTCTGAACAGGGGGGAGAAATAGGTGTCATGACAGAAGCCCAAGAAGGTTAAACTATCCTGATTTTAGCCTGGAAAAAACCTGTCTAACCAAGTACTATCTTTAACAGTTTTGAATGATAGCAAAACAATCCTTTGGAGTTTGGCTGGCATACAGTTGGAAGGGAAACACAAGCTATCTGGGTGTTTCTTCACTGTTGACACTATATCAGCATATTCTGTCTATCCTACAATAAAGATGTAGTTCACCCACTTGAATTGCTGGCTAGGAGAAGAAACAAGCCAGTAGTGGCCACACAGACTGATTCTGCTAAATTAGCCTTGGCATACCCATACACCAGCCTAGCCCTATTCACAGTGCAATCCCCAAGAATCTCCAGTTCTTCCTGTAAACTATTCCTAGATCTCTGCTCTTTGCCTTAAGTTGCTCCTGTTGATCACGTAAGGAAGTGTAGCATGTATTTCAGTCAGGTGAAATGCAAGAACATTTAATCCCGTTTCCCAGTATATACAAGCTACGTCCATAAACTGTTAAAACACAGCCAAGAATGACAACAAAGTCACCGCTACTGTCTAGTTTCCACTACCTGTCTTAGCTAATCCACAGCTACCTAGTCGCAAAAGCCAGTTTAGCTTTTCCAAGGAAATGGAATGTAAAAGCAATAGTATTACTGGATTTAATGCATGTAAATGCAAGCAACGCTTACCTATTAACTCAAACAGAAGCCTTCTGCGCTCATATAGCATCGTATTTCTTACAGGAAAAAAAATGCATCAGAAATGCATAAATTCCCATTAGCCACAGGCAAATTATCTCTCTTGTGATTCACTCACAACATGCAAAAACTCAAATGCCTCACTGTGCTTGGTATCGTGCTATTCCTGACTGCCTAATGCTAATAAAGCTTTTGATGAATCAAATTTATTCACCACAGATGCCTACAAGCAGCAGCATGAGTATTACCCCACTTCCCACAGTCCTAGATAAGGACAACTTTAATATAAATGTTCACACAGAAAAGCTCGGAGTAGAGGTGGAAGGCCTGTAGCTCTAGACCCACCATCAAGAAGGATGGATCCATCATGCATGGAACAGATAGTCATTACCATCAAGGATAATCTTGCTATTCCTATGAAATTCAGCTTGTTGCTCCTGTTGCACTGTTATTTACCTCTTGCTTTTTGTTTTCAAACAGAAGTACATATGGAAAAAACGTGGATTACATCATTTCAGTTCATCTCTGTAAATTCAGTGTTGGAACTTAACCTCTTAAGCTAACTGATGGAAAAACAAGTACAAGATGAAGAGGAGCAAGTGACTGAATGGCAGACTAATACAAACCAGCTCCTTAACAGCAGTATCATAGATTAGTTTGAGTTCAAAGGCACCTTCAAAGTTCATCTAGTCCAACTCCCCTGCAATGAACAGGGATACCTTCAATGGGACCACATTGCTCAGTCACACCCAACCTGACCTTGAATGTTACCACCTCTCTGGGCAACCCAGTGTTTCACTACCCTCATTGCAAAAAAATATTTTCCTTAAATCTAGTCTAAGTCTACCCCCTTTTACTATAAAACCATCTCCCCTTGTGTCTTACCACTACAGGTCGTACCACACAAATGTACCCCCACCTTTCTTATAAGCCACTTTTAAGTACTGAAAGGCAACAATAAGGCCTCTCTGGAGGCTTCTCTTCTCCAGGCTGAATCATTACAACTCTCTCAGCCTGTCCTCACAAGGAGGGGCACTCCATTCATCTGCTCACTTTTGTGGCCCATGTCTTTCCTGTAATAAGGACTCCGTAACCGTACACAGTGCTCCAAACAAGGTCTCACCACTGTGGAAGAGAGGGGCATAATCACTTCCCTCAACCTAATGGCCACACTTCTTTTGATGTGGCCCAGGATAAATTTGGTTTTCTGGGCTGCAAGTGCACATTGCTGGGTCATACCTAGCTTTTCATCCATCAGCACTCCAAAGTCCTTTGTAGGAGGGCGGCTTTCAATCTGTTCATCCCCTAGCCTGTACTGATACCAGGGACTGTCTCAAATCAGAAGCAGGATCTTGTACTTGACCTTGTCAAACCTCATGAGGTTCACATGAGCCCAATATTTGAGCTTGTCCAAATCCCTCTGGGTGGCATGCCATCCCTCAGGCATGTCAGCTGCACCACTCAGATTGGTGTCATCTGCAAACTTACTGAGGGTGCATCAATCCCACTGTCCATGTCATTGATGAAGATACTAAATAGCTCTGGTACCAGTACTGACATCACTCAATCTCTGTCTGGACATTGTGTTGTTGACCACTATCCTCTGGATGTGACCATCCAACCAATTCCTCATCCACTGCAGAGTCCACCCATCAAACCCATAGATCTCCCAGAGATAAGGATGTTGCGGGGTCCTGTTACAATGTTTCACGAACACTAGTGAAAGTAATCTAATGTTTTTTCTGACTTGTTTTATCATGGAGAATGAGTGACAAGTCACAAGAAAGTGAATGATCTTTTTCACTTACAGGAATTCAGTTAAAAAAAAATAAATTAAAAAACCCAAACAACAAAACCCAAAGCCACCACCCAAAACAAAAACCCAACCCCAAAAAAAAATCCAAAAAAACCCACACAAAACACACCAACACAAAAACAGACAAACAAAACCACCAAGAAGAAAACTCACAAGTGAGGCAACATCTCAAAAAGCTATGACAGTCAGAGGTTGACTATTTCACACTGATATCACTGGTATTTTTAACTGCACAGAACTCCTTAGCTGTGGAATTGCTCCCTCAGTGTAGAGGCTGGAATCTGGAGTGGTCATGTCAGAACTAAGGCTGGAAAACGAAGAAAACAGTCCTACACTGGCCAGTATAAGGTACGACTAACAGATGGCTTAGCAACTCCCTTTGTATTTCCCACTGGTAAATATCAGTGTTCATGTGAACTCCAAGAGATCTTAACTAAGAACTTAAGAACGGTCTAGTGGGTCTTTAAGTGCTCATTTATGCCAGTTCTGTGGATCCCCAGGGAAAAATACGGACAAGGAAACCTACTTCCCAAATAGCCTCCAAATCTCCAATTAATTTCTATGCTGGAGATTTCTGAAGCCAGATGGAGTTTATATTCTTTACAATGGCATCCTTCTCTGGTATTTGACCAGTCTCTCCCAAGCTCATGCAAGTTTTTATCAGCCCCAACATCCCATGGCAAAAATCTCCCACTATCTGCTGCATGGACCTAACAACCCAAGTCATCAAAACTCAAACATGAGTCAGAGGCAAAACAGAGCCTGGGCTGCATCCACAGAGGTATTAGCAGCAGAGGGAGATGCAAACATACCACTCTAATGAGCACTTATCAGGCCACACCTGGGGAGTACTGTGTCCAGTGCTGGTCTCCACAACTCAAAGAGTGGGCAGACAGACTGGATGTGTTCCAAAGGAGGGACAAGATGATGATCAAAGCGCTAGACAAACTGGCCTATGAGAAAAGGCTGAGGAAGTTAGGTCTTTTCTCCTTGGAGAAAAGACATCTTGGGGGAACTCATCACAGGATTTCAGTACTTAAAGGTAGCTACAAAGAGGACAGAATCTCTCTTCACAAGAAAATACTGAGAAAACAAGGGGCAACACATACAAGTTGGCAACAAGGTAACTATAACTTTACTATATAATCTAACAGCCCACAAGCCATTATAGAGAGAACACAACTTCAGTACTTAAAATGGTTGGCTATCCTCTGTAGCTACAAGCAGCACCAGTGCATAAAACCAAGCCTGCATGACACATAAGGTGCCATCAAGCTGGATGCACACAAGCTGTAGTCCAGTGCTGAACTGCAAACTACTGTCTGCAGTCCTCAGGAGCAGTTATAAAGCACACCTTGACCCAGCAGGTGGTGGGCGTAGCTGTCCCAGGCCAAGTGGGATTTGGATGCATTACTTGTCCAAGAAAGCATAAGAGTTCAGCTGGGCAGGCATGGACCTGCAACTCACTTCCCAATGGAGCAATATATTGAAAAAGTAACAGCATACAAGGAATTCTTCACCCATTCTTGACCTCTTCCTGACCACGAGCACTATATAAGCACTTTAACCAAAGTCTACTTGTTTCCTTATTCCGGTAGCTCCCCTTTCTCCTGGTAATTAAAACCTTCTCACTGTCCCCAAGATTTGCATAGACAGTAACAACAGGGAACACAGCTTCCTGCTCTTAATGAAGCCTGTATGAATCACAAAGCATCCAAGGAATGATGAGCAAAGGAAACCATACAAACCTGCGATAGCGGGGACGAAAGGTAGGATTCCTATGGACTTGTTGATGAAGTTGTCCTCCTTCTGTGACCCCATCCTTGATTTCTCCCTCACCGCCCTATAACCAAAAGAAAACATAAGACAGTCAACAATGAAGCATTATCTTACTTCATGGACAGTATATTAACCATTAAGCCCAGAGATATGAATCTGAACACAAAAACAGTTTCAGTGCAGAAGCATCAATAGATCAAGTAAAAAGAAGCATCTGATACCCAAATGGCTTAAATTTAGATAAGGATACGAGTAGGATAAATAAATATTCACAGGAACTTCTACCAACTAAGTAGATAGTAATAACAGGCAGCACCTGACAGAAGTTGAAAAGTACTTGAGACATTCAGAACCTGAAACAAAAGTCACAGTTCTAAGCTTAGAACAGCACTATACTACTTCTATCTACTTTAGAATACCAATCTGTCCTGTTTCTATCAACACCCTTTGTATTAAATAACTTTATAATTTAATAGACCTGTGATGGATGGTTAGAAATGTCACAAACAGCAAGATGAGAAATAGCACCACCAGTACTGTATGTGACAACCATGATTCAGATGTGTTAGGATTTGTCTTTTGTGAAGCAAGAAACCAATGCTGCTCCTGCTCTTACTCTTAGTCATGTGAGGACTATCAAAGCACAGAAACAGGAAAAGAGAACAGCAAGATATAAAGGGAAGAGAGCGCACAAAACGGAAACAATCCTGAATGTGTTCCAGCATAGTTGTCATTTCTCCAGAATTTCTGAGAAAGCACAAGACAGTGCTCAGTTCTAGCTCTGCAATGCCAGAAATACAGAACCAAAGACCTAGTAGGTCTCCTCTGAGGGACAACATGCCAGAAGCTAGTAAAGCAGCAACCAACCTAATTGCAGGGAGGGGCATACAACAGTGTTTTTTTACCAGCCAAAGCCCTCCTGTAGCACTTGACACTCAGCATCACATGCAGAGCTCTTTAAAAGGCAGTATTGGGCTGTGCTATTAAAAACATGCAGAAGTTCAAGTCCACTCCTCCCTACAAAGGGCCACATTGGAATCTCAGATAAAAAGGACTGTCGCTAGACCTGGTGAAGCATTACTCAAAACCAAAGCAAACTTTTTTCTATTAACCTTGAACCAAATGTTGCTATGTCAATATTTTAAATTGGTTTGGCTTAAACAATCAGTTGAAAACAGAACAGTAAAGCAACTGGACTGCTTAGCCTGTAAGTCCTGACAATTTTCCACATCTTCTATAGTAGCACAAAAAAAAAAAAAAAAAAAAATCACTCGACACATTACATTACACTGTCAATTGACCTAGGTCTATTGTTCAGAAGTGAATTACAGCTCCAGGATAAAACTATGCTGTCGGAAGTCACAAGAATGGATGCAGAACAGAACCTGAGCATTGAGGTCTTATGCTTACTATCAGTAAACATTAGATTTATTTATTAGGAAAGCTACATCTGTACTCCTAAAAGCATCACACATCACACCTAGCACACACGTAATTCCGTTCACTCAATCTCCTTCACAGGAATCTTCCAACTCAGTGAAATGCCTTTAACAAAGCAACCCTAAAAAGGTTGGAGAACACCTAAAAAGGTACAAAATTTTATTGCTGTCCCCCAAATACAAGTTTCTTTAAGCATAAACTGTTTAATTAAAGCACAATGAGCTTTTTACCCATCTGCTTCCCAAATATCTTTATCAGTCTAGTTTTGTGTAAAACTATTAATCTTTTTGGGTCTCCTCTCTACAAGAAACAGCATCAGCCTATAAAACAGCTTTTAAACTATTTAGCTTATTTTCTGACTCATTGGTATAAAGGCTTATTCTATTAGTCATACACACAACATGTACATGACAGTACTATTAGTTCTCAAGGTTATTCCATGATTCATTCTCTGTTCTAACATTCTGACTACAACTCCACACAATGTCTATGTTGTTAGTGAAGAGCACAGCCTCTTTTCTGTAGTGGATACAATTAAGAAGTTTCTGATACAAACAAGTACTTTACTCTGAACAGAACTTCCCAAGCAATCCAGAAGCAGTTCCCACTAAAGCCAATTGAATACCTCGGATTCCCCAGGGTTCTCTTCATTCTTGAGAAAAATCACACAGTATGGTCAAAATCAGACTCAGTAACTTACAAAGTACAGGCACATGTGAACTAGCATGGTAAACAAAGGACAGCATCATTAGTTTACCTAAAACCATGCCAGTTAAGGAAGGAAGGAGAAACCAACTCTTACTGCGTTATACAAGGCTGGACTGGATTTGCCAGCTGAGATCAATTGAAAGTTCTTGAAATCTAGAAGGCCACCATGCCAAAAAGTCATCTCAGTAAGTTCAGGTTTTTTTTGTGTTAGTAAACACAGGATTAATGATGTGGGCAGATGAGCTCTAGGAACACCTTTCACCTCTGCAGCCCAGAAGATCTTTAAGTATAGCAGGCTTGGGTACGTGGAAACCTTTTCCTTCAGATATGCAGCAAGAGCTGCCTATAGCTAAGTTAACATCCTTTCAAACACAGCCCAAGAATGCCATACCATCAGCAACTCAAACTTCTCTCAGAAGTATCCAGCAGGACAGTTAGCCAGAAAAACCTCCTCAAGCAGAGGGGCACAACGTTTAATGCATGTACTAATGCAACCATACAGAACAGTGTACGCATACTGCTATGGCTCACAGACATTGCTACCTCGCTTCTCCCTAGCTACAGTGGTGTAGCTAGTTTGAAGAAAAAATAAAAGGCTTTATCTTTACACTGAACTGCTGTAGGCAGAGGTCCATGAAGGGATGATACATAGAGGTTTCAACTAGTTGGTCAAACTACTACCACATTATGCAAAAGTGACAAGCTTTTAAAAAAAATCCCATTTTCCAAGTAGCCCTTTTCAAGTTATGGTTATACTACTTAGAGTAGTACAAATACTTTTCCTTGCTGGAGGTAAAGGGCATGGTGAAGCACTTCTGTGTCTTACTCCTTTGCTTTTATTCAACACAGATACTTTTGACACCCAAAGGAATGCTTTTAGCACATTTTACAACCAAACGCCAAGGAAAGGCCTACAGGACACTCAAAAGTAGAAAATACCAGTATCAGCATCAACAAAGGAGGAACCCAGTTTACCACCACAGAAAACTCACAACTTTGTTAAACATTAACTGTTTACTACATGGCAGCGCAGAACCTGTAGTTCCCTCTCATGAGAGGACTGCAAGATGGCTGAGGAGGTAGGATGACCACCACTGCAGAAATTAGACTTACACTTCGAGGTGGTCCACGGCGTCGGCCAAAATAGCCACGGCGATAGCGGCGCCGGTCTGCAGCATAGCGGCTGCCTTCCACAGGGACTCCATCTGGACCAGTGACATTAGCTGCCTCTGCACCCTGAAAGGCCAAAAGAAAATCAATCAAGATGGTGTGAGAAAAGAACAACCAGTTACAGGGAGAAGATGAAACAGTTCCAAGCATCAGAGATTCCTTCCTTCCACATCAGGCAAAAGCAAGTTTGTTATTCTCAACCCATAACCAAGAGTTACCAGAATTAAGACCTTATCAGGCAGCCTGAGTTAAGAGGAAAAATAAAGAACTTAAAAGCAAACAAGCAAAACAAAAGGAAAACCAACCACAAAAAAAAAAAAAATAAAAATTGGAAACTCAAAAAGCATTTGAGAAAGTAGAAACACAAAAACTTTTAAGGTTCTTACAGTTATTAAGCTACCAGACACCAAGACAAACTCTTCAGGGCAATATATTCCTTAGTTAATGTTTACTGGGCAGGCTGCAAGCTTCAAATGTTCTATGAAATAAAAATTACAGGTTCTAGAAGGCCTAGGATGTAGTAAAGGATTTTTGATACGTACCTAAAAATATTTCTTAATGAAGACTTTAAATACAGATCTTCCACAGAAAAGCCATATGAATGCCACCCACCCCAGGGATTAATGTATTAAGACAAAAAACCACAACACAAAACATCAGACACACAGAACCGTAACTGTGCAACTCTTTACTACAGTGATGTTACCTCTGCTGGACTACAGCACAAAGTCCCCATTATCTCTTACCTTCTCTCCTTCAACCACATCAAATTCTACAGTCTCTCCATCTCCAACACTACGCAGGTATTTCCGTGGGTTGTTTTTCTTTATCGCCGTCTTTAAAGACAAGATAGAGAAAAATGTACTATTTCATCTTATCCTACACATTCGTAGCCCTCTAAATGAGGGAAGAGCAGTATTCTTTTGCGACAGTCACAACTCTATGCATCAGATTAGTCACCCCACCAAGGTATTTTAAACATGTAAGTGCTACTGACCGTCTTACATAAGCTTTACTACACACAGATTTAATGAGAAACATGAAACTTATGAAATTATTAGATACAGTCTGCTAGTTGTGTATTATCAAAGATGATCAGAGGGCTGGAGCACCTCTTCTATGAAGACATCCTGAGAGAGTTGGGTCTGTTCAGCCTGGGGAAGACAAGGCTCAGGAGACAGACCTTAGAGCAGCTCTCAGTATTTAAAGAGGCCTACAAGAAATCCAGAGAGAGGCTTTTTGCAAAGGTATATAGGCACAGGACAAGGGGAAATGGCTTTAAACTGACAGAGGATAGATTTAGATTAGATCTTCAGAAGTTCTTCCCCGAGATGGTGGTGAGCCACTGACACAGGTTGCCCAGAGAAGCTGTGGCTACCCCATCCCTGGCAGTTCTCAAGGCCAGGTTGGACAGGGCTTAGAGCAACCTGGTCTAGTGGAAGGTGTCCCTGCCCGTGGCAGGGGTTTGGAACTGGATGAGCTTTAAGGTCCCTTCCAACCTAAACCAGTCTGTGAGTCCGAGAGATGTCTCCTTTATTCCACAGGCTTTCTGATATGTAGTCAAGGTTTACTCTTTTCTCAACATATAAAGTTAACAAACTGGCTGTTGCCCCAGGATCCCCTCTGTCAACCCCACTAAAGATCCAGATCAGCACATATTTTTGTATGAACAGTGTTACACTCAGTGTCTGATCTCCAACAAGCTGTACTAAGGCTTCATTATCACTAGGAAACCGCTACACAATCTACAGAAAACTTAAGAGCAGGAGCATTTTTGTAGAAGATGGCATTAACTATAAGGTATCAGGGCAACTCATAGTAACTAGAGTAGAATTACTATAACTCTAGTGTAACATAAATAAGTGTTTTACTACCTAAGTACTGCAAGGTAAAAAAAGAAAAAACTTGCCAAAAATTAGGCAAGTCCCTGAAGAACACAGGAATAGTACAAGACAGAGTCACCAAGACAGAAACCCCAAAATAATCCAAAGCCAGTGTTGCTAATAGTAAAATGGCTGAAAACCTCCTCAGACTCCCAGGAACACTCAAGCCTCCTGAAGTAATTTTCAGTCTGTCAACTACAGATGCTTTTCACTCTGGGGAGTATTTCCAGGATTCCACAGAAGGCAGTTAGAAGGGCAAGCCTCCTGTCTGTTAGATAAGGGTACACAAACTGGAAGAGGCCAGGGGAGAAGAAACCCAAACAAAAAATGAACTACACACACATGTAAGCTAATCTAGCAGCCTGCTTTTTACTAAAGTTCTCTTAAAGCAAGCTGGTCTTTAATAACCTAAGTATCCTTTGTTAGCATAAAGGAGGCAAGTGCAGATCTAGTACCTAGAAGCACATGACATTTCCTCTGTTTTAAGAAACTGGATGCAGAGCAGAAACAGGAGAACTGTCACATCTGTTTGCAGTTCAACAAAAACAGGCAAAATGAAGACCAGCCTAATTGTTGCCTGTGCATGGCAACTGTATTCATGAAGTCAACAACAGCCCAAAAATATTTCCCACTGAAGGAAAAAAAGTTCTAATCAGTTTGGAGTTGAGCTTGACCAGTTTAGGAAAAGTATTCTCATTGTTGCTGAATAGTACCCTTTGCCCAACAGGCCAGCATGCTCTTCCAGCCCTACATCCAGCCATGCCTTTCCCTGTATCCCAGTGTCTCTAAAAGGCTTAAGGCAGAATGCAAGAATATACATATTATTGCTACCAAAGCGAGAATAACCCATGAGATTGTTGGTTTGGGATGGGGGTGAGGGTGTGCTGATACAGGAAGAGAATGAGCTGCTCAAGTGAGTTCTTTTCAGAACTACTTTAGCAAGCAGAGACTCCCACAATCAGCTGAGACAGCTCCGTCTGCTTTCCACTGACCTATCAGTGTAACTGCCCCATGTCTAAAAATCAGCTGGAATTGATGGCTTTTCCATAACTGCTGTATACTAACAGTGATTATCTTCACTGCAGAGTAAGGGTTCTGTTCTTTCACTACCACTTGTGCTGAGAAACTGGCTTAAACCCTTAAGACTTGTGCTCTGCATATGACAGATGTCAACAACTTGTATTTTAGAACTCCTTCGCCTTCCAAGTGCAGAGGAAAAAACGACTATCAGATTATTCAATAGAGGGTGTACTTCAGACTAATGAAGCTCCTCAAACATCCTCCAAGAAGGGTAACGGAAGATGAATTCAATAGGATTCCACATGTTCCATTCCAAGTTTATGGACAGAAACTTCAGAAATTCAGGTTTGCAACTGACTAACCTGCCAGCCGGAGACAGAGACTGCCACACAGCAGGCTGCAGTTTGTTTCATAAAGGCGAACAAGAACAATTTTGAGTAAATCCTAGAGTTCAGAACAGAAACTATACAGCTTTACTACTTACTACTTCAGCTGCAGGTAAACACTGCTGAAATAAGCCTCTAATAAGCCAAAGTTCTAAGCCTGATGAGAAGACTTTTACTCTGTATGTCCAGAAGGGAGAGAGCTCTATTCTCCCCGTTACTGTTTCCTGCAGGCTCCTAGTTCTTTGATTCAAAAAACAGATGTTTTGTGTTAGCACAGACAGACCTCAACAATTAAGACAAAGCCTTTCCTTTCCCAAGGGAACACTGATGAACAGCCATGAAAGTCTTCAGAGCTAGTTCAGTATTTTGCTTAGGAAAGTTCTTTCCATATCCTCCTACCGCCCCATCATGTGCACATCCAGCATTGCCACAGCAATAGCCAACATTTGTTACACCAGTTACTGTTCATGACAAATACTATCCAGTGAATTCTGTGCAGAAGAAAACATTATTCCTCCTCACTGCTTGTTGATTCAAACTATGCCTAATTAAGTTGGACTTCTCTGGCTACTGACACTTTTAATAGTGTTAAACTGTAAGAACCTCCTCTCCCTTAGATACACATCACCCCACCAGGTGAACTGATCCCTACTGCTCAGAACACCTCTGAAAGAATGCCCTGCACAGCACCTTGCACAAACCAACTGGACAAGGGTGCAAGCAGGACAGAGAAAGTGAAGAACTGCCCTTCCCCAAAACACTGCTTGGGTCCTCTTGCAAGACAAAGGGTTAATTCAAAGCAATCCATGCATGCCCTAAAGAGAAAAGCATTTTAATCTGTACTAGGTTTATAAATAGCATCCAATAGCCAGACACTGAGCGTTAACCCCCCATTCCAATCATGAGATCAGCCTGTTCTCTACCACTGTGGATGTGTGCAGGGGAGGCAGGGAGGAGGCTGGATCCATTCAACTAGGTCAGCCTTATTCTGAAGGGATTAGGCATGTAATCCAGCCCCTCCTGGGAAGGGTGTGGGGAGGAGGGGCAAAACCAGCACTAACCCTGGCAAGGGAGCTCAAAGCAGCAGGACCTTTGGTGAGGGAGGTAAATCCATGGCATAAGAAAACGGCCACAATCAGGAGCTCTGGCTGTGAGCACATTCACATAAAGAAACAGCTCGAGACTGAAGAGCTGAGGAAAATCCCATTGCAGCCAACCCAGGCCAGAGCTGGAAGCATCTACTTTGCCATACACAGCCCACCAAGAGAGTTAATCAGATGCAGGCTTGCACGTAATGTGGTATTTCCAAAATGTCAAGCCAGTTTTGCTCAGCACTCACTACAAGAGGATTTCATCCACAGGAGATGGGGAAACAAGTCATCATCCCTCCTTTCCCCACACAGACCAGTTTACATTTAGGTGGATAATTTCCACCGCTGAAGGAGAAAACATAACAGGTAGTACTAGCCTGCTGCTGACCTTCACTGTTCAGGTCTCTGCAGGCAGCCTTCCCAAGCAGAATAACATCGATCCATGTTGCCTCTATCATCATCACAACAGCCATTTTCCAGGATTATCTTTTCACAGGTCTGAAGGAGACCTCATTTGCCTTCAAGTTAGTTTCATAGTGCTGCCTATCCAGAACATGTTTCTGTTACTAGAACTTTCCTCAACCTCCTCTTGACATGCTCCTATCAGGGCACAGATGCAGCAGCAGTACTGCCATGCACACAGCCATCAAAGAAGTGGAGAGCCCACTAGATCTCAGAGCATGCATTGAGAATTCTTGATCTCAAGTCCACCAACTGAACCAGGAATATGTAATTGCACATACTTTCCAATACCATCTTTTCTCATTAAGGCACTAGACTTACCCCCTTCCAGCTTCATCTGGTTTTGGATAATATATATATTATATACTACACAGTCCCTGACCGAGAGAAAGTTATCACAGGCTACTTAGTCATGATCCCACAGGAACTAAACTAACTCTCAGTGCTATATGCATCAAACATATCCTCATGCTTTGTGACCAACTATGAGTGCAAGTTTCCTAGTTACATCTGATGGAAATACTGCCACATACACCTAAAAAGAAAGCTCATTCTTTTAACGATCATGTGAGTCTGCATATATTTCATATGGGACAAAGTCTCAGATGCAAAACTAGATCTAAGCCAACTAGCCAGTTTACATCAGCAGAGAAACGGCATTCTCTGTCTTTTCACTAGTCACCTGCAAGCTGACAGTATAAACAGAGAACAGCCTACTGACAGCTCAAGGGAAGTTAACCAACGACAAGCTGCTGGGCAACCTCCCTCTAAATTGACACACTTTGGCACTCAGCCTTCCTCCTCCTCTTCCTAAGAGCAGCTGCCTTGTGCAGCAACAGCTGACAGCAACTCAGGCTGGTCAAGAGCCAGACTAGATCACTTTCTTTCCAATACCACAGAGGGCAGACAACAGACCTGCAAACTAAGGGTAGGAAGAAACAGAAGACAGGGAACATGAGGAAGTGGAGAGGGAGCAATGGGACAGAGACAAGTAACAACGTACTTGCAAAACAGAAGTCACTTCCCCAGGGGAGGGACAACCAAACAAAACCACACCAAAACAAAAAAACAAAAAACCTCCAAAACCCAAACCAAACCCTCTAGTGTTCAAATCAGAGCAGACAAAAAGCATGAAGAATTATAATACCTACTCCTTCAATTGTAACTCCAGAGAGAATAAAACATACCCTAATATTCCTCCCTGAAAACTTCAAAACACATGTTAAGCAAGGTTGGGCAGCTGTTACAGGAAGTTGCCTGAAAAACCTATCACAGCACACATCTGAGTACAATTACTGCTGTCTTACCTGATGAACAAACACATCTTCTTTGGTATCATTTCTGTGAACAGAAAGTGAGACGTTGTAAGAGTTTAGACTGAGACTTAAATAGAAATCCCTGACTCCACAAGTGAAGCCCTCCTTCCCCCACCCTGTAGTACATCTCCTGGATGCCATACGTTCTGTAAAGGCTATGATACCAAGACCCTGCTCTGATTTTTCAGGGTCATATGCTTGACAGCAGAAAAGACTCCCCAGCCTTCAGAAGGGTGAAGGGACAGGGAGGTTCTCTGTAATCTTTTGGCAAGCACTCAGTATTTTGTTTTGACACTGGATGGAGTTAATGACTGGACTGCTCGCCTTTAACTATATTCCACACTCCCCCAAAAAAAAACTTCCACAGGGGCTGCAACCTGAGCTGTTATCCCAGAGGTCAAGCAAGACTATCAACAGGACTGGCCACAGCTGTCAACAGAGCTCTCCTTTCAGTGAAACTCAAAGCAACCATGCACAAGAGATGTCAGAAGAGTCTGTTGAAAGGAGACCCAGACATGAATGTGAGGTTGTCAAGATTAGGCCAGCCAGTTCAAGCTTCCACATGTAAAACATGAAGATAGGTCTAAGACCTCAATTATGTGTTCCCATGCAACAGAAAGACCCCACCACTTGTTCTCTCAACTCCTTCTCTGCAGAGGGCACAAGAGGGTTAAAGAGTTTTTGAAAATAATGCACAATCCAAAACTTGTTGCACTGGACTGAACTAACAGCAGACTTCAGTTTAGGAAGAAAGATAATAAATTATTACATCATATCCAGCTGAAGACTCTCACATCAACTGCTACAAGACTTAAGAGTGCTTTGCCATTCAAGCTTTTCTTTAAGCTTACATAACACTGGAGAGTAGTCCCCAGAGACTGGCATTAATACTGTACCAGAACTGGCTTCAAATCCATGAAACGGGCTCTTCTGCCCTCTTCTACACTGTCCAACTCACCAAAACCTACCTGCTGTGTAAGTTGGTTCAAGGACTTGTAGGATAAAATAACTCACCAGGTATATCTTTTGCAAGACAAGCATTCCCCATACAGTAGCTTCATTTTTCATAAAGCAGACAAGATATTTTAAAGCTTCTCAAACCCCCAGATTCCAGCTTTAAAAGCCAGAGTTTCCTCCAATAACTTGGAAGTATGGGCCTTGTGCACCTAAGGTTGGAGTGCGGTCAGTATCACTAACAGCTATTTATTGATGCCATTCAGAGTTTCATTTGTGATCAGAGAAGGACAAAAAAGACAATTTCTGTGAACCCAGGCATGGAACATCTTCAGTTAGATGGTATCAGAGAATCTCAATGTGTATTTACATTAGGTATTTTGACCAATCAGTCAACACTTGACTTTTTATCTGAAAAGTATTTCCCTCATTCTACAACTTCTCTTGCACCTTTAAAAAAAAGGCAGGCAGTCATGAAAAGCATACAGTCATTAAAGGTGTAGCACAATTAATCATGAGAAACAAGTAACAGACCAAATCTGTAATGGGTTTGACTCTCCCCAGACACACAAACTTTGATGGGGAAGGGGGAGGTGGTTCCTGAGATAGAACTGGTTGAATGCCTGGCCAAACCTGGTTATCAACAGCATAAACTTGTAGTCAGGTCTTTGGGTCTCTGCTACAATTATTAAAAGTATGGCATATTACCTGTACCATTACTCTTAGTACAGTACAAATATGACTATCATAATCTAAACATACCTGTTGATAAAGCCATATCCATTTCTGACATTGAACCACTTGACTGTGCCAAGAACTTTGGTGGCTGGAAAGAAAAAGAGAAGTTACTCTAAAATATAAGAAAGTACAAGAATGTTACAAAAATACCTTTATCTATGCGCCTGAAGTCAAAACCAGACCTAGCCTGTTACCTTAACACTCAAAGTCTACCTTTATCTTCCACTTCAGTTTATACTAACACGGGATTGTTTTAATATGCTGCTCTTCAGCCAAGAGTTTACCACACAGCATCTAGAATGAAGTCCAGCTCCACTTTCAGAATTGGGCATCCATCCCCTCTTTTTTCATGTCTTATGCCAGAGATGTGCACTGATGCTGAAAATCATCAGTTCTCTTTAGCTTAGTAACTAGACATTAAACAGAAAGTTCTTTAAAAGTCCTCTCTTTCACTCAATTACTTTTTCTTTCTTCCTTGGAAACCAGAACTGGCCAACATCACTCTAACTAAACAAGACCCCACAAGAAGTTTCTGGGGTTTATTTTCGTTTGTGGTGTTTTGGGGGCGCTTTGTGTGTGTGTGCTTTTTTAACATTCCTACTTCTAGAGATCTTCTGTGATTTACCAGTTACAAACTGACAACTTTATGTTCTAAGGCTTCTAGGATCAAGACAAGTTCTTGTCTCAACACCAAAACAGCATCTTGCTTAGAAACCAGACTGCAGTGTCTTATAGGATCTGGCAAAACCTGTTCCTCCAACATGTGGGAGGAACTCAACAGTGATGGAGGTGGTTTAAACTCTCCTTCCCTCTCAGCAACTGGGTGGAGACTACGAACTTGTACTTTTCAAACCTGTAGGAAAGGGAGGATTCTGGGTCCTAGACTTAATAGATGTTATTTATCACACAGCATGACCAGAGCTAAGTAATTTACATAGTACTTATTTGAAAAGGGTCTAGTCACCTACAGATGACCTCTTGTCTTGTTAAAAAAACCTCAAACACCTACAAATAGGTACCATCATCTGCTCTTACACCTGCATTATTCCCTACACATCCACTAGGAGATGACACAGCTAGACAAGACCTTTGGTCTCATGCACACTTGGCATTCATATGTAGCCCTCTGACAGACAAGAAAAGCAACCTCTTCCTCCTTCCCCAAATACAGAACTAAAGCAGGAATGTTTGCTGATAGCAGTCCATTGTAGTACTGTTGCTGTTATTGAAGCTAGTAACAGGTCATTACTCATTGCACTTTTAGAAGTGAAGGTTTTGATGTTCAATACTTTTTAGTAGAAAAAGTTTGCATTTAGAATCAGCAAAACCATGTTAAGACTGAAACAGTTACTAAAGGGCTCTACCTAACATAGCACCCATTCCTAAGACTCCTTGTTCAAAGAGATTCACTGCCTAGCACTGATTTTTCACACAAGTCTTGGGCATCAACAGATATAGTTGTGCTTTCAGGTTTAGTTTAGTAGGGACATCACTACATACACTTATTGCTACCACACAGGCACTGGCTACATGCAAGAGCTCATGCACTAAACTCAACAGTGGAAGAAGGGCTGGGGGGAAGGCCCAGAAACAGGTGCCAATGGCACATGCAGGTTTTAGCCTGCTTTAAGAAACAAGGCTAATACCACTGATTCCCCCACCACCATCCTTTCCCTCCCCCACAAAATAGCTATTGAATCTGTTGGCCTATTTCAATCAGATTAGGAAGAGGGCAAGAAGCCTAGGAAGCCTGGCAAAAACCCTCAGAGGAGTAAGAAAGCTGGCAGAAAGGAAAATAAAACTCACACTATGTGGCCAGATGGCTGTTGCTAAGTGGATGTCCATGCACACAGCTTCAAAGCAACACTGCTCCTTTTGCGGTCCGGCAGAGATTGGGGGAGTCTCCAATAGATTCCCTAAAATAGTGTTCTGGAGAGATACCATTCCCTACTCACACCAGTTTTAGTCTCCCTCAAGCATCACCTTAAGGGGGAAAAAGAACCTCAGACACAATACCATGACACCAAACATCCACGTGGCCGTGGTGCAGCCACTGCTAACATTGTTAAACCTGAGCTGTCATATCAGGGAGATGAGGCAAGGAAGAGGGCAAGCCCAGAGGAAGCCATAACCAGTTTTACACACAACTCAGAGAAGGTAGTTGATGTCATCGCTCCTATCCCACCAGCAAGTGAAAGTCCACATATTTCTACAAAATGTAGTACTTTGATGCTATCAGAGGAAACAACCCATCCATGACAAAATAGCCTTTTCGTTAGTTTTAACAGAGAAAGCCAAAGCTTCCTGTGACCAAGAGAGGAGAAAGTTGACTAGCCTTTATCTTTATTCCTCAGTCAGACATTTAGATGCCCTGGGCAAGCATTAGAGCTTGTGTTTAATGGAATCTTTGTAATTATATTTACTTAAGTCTCTTCTTATAAGACCATTAACACAGACATTTGAGGCAGACCTGAATATAAGTTCATTTTTAATTAGCATTATCAATGATCATTTTCCTTAGAGCTCCTGATAGAAAGTTTGCCTAGCAATAACGCCAGTGTGCAAAAGCAACACCGTGGCAGTTTTCTTCTCCCTGCCAGACCAGGAAAGGCATTTGTGCCTCCACTTACCCCCAGCCCCAAGCAACAGCAACAGGTGAACAAGATAAAAACATTACCAAGAGTGACACAAGCCATGTTAAGGCTAGAAGCAGACAGACACACTAACAGATATGACGGGATGTGCCTTGACTGATTACCAACAAATCTGATAACAGAGCAGGGAAAAACACAAACTGTACCTCCAATTTCTCTTTTACTTGAATTCCTCCTACCTGAGCTGCAGAGAAATCCTTTACCTGGCTCCTCTGTCTGCTGCAGTAAGACCTCAGCTTTTCCTTTCAGAAGGGAAGATGCTGTCTTTCCTTATGAAGCTTGGGACTCTGCACTAGTAGTCAGCCCCAACTTTGCTCTTACTAACTTCTTACAGAGTTATCAACACTAAATCCCTATTTCCACTGCAGATTGAAGTACTGTTCTTTTCAAGAGGTTGATCCTGTTTAATCACGATGGAGAAAAACCACCGCATTAGCTATGCACTAGGCTTGAGCACAGAGATGGCAACCTGACATTATGGCTTACCCTCTACTGATAAAGTAAAAACTGACAGAAAAACAGAAAAAGAAAAAAACACCAACACCTCCCCCCAAACCCAACCACTAAACCTCGAAGCGTTACTAGTTACAAAGACTCTTTGACACACACAGAGGTTGTGCAAAGCCCGAAGGGGGGGACGGGGGGTGTCACACAGGGCTTGCCAGGAGCCCCTTCCACGGGAGATGCCCCAGCAGGACACGGAGCCGGCTGCAGGCACCGGGGAGCCCATCAGCATGGCTGCACTTCACTCGCTATCCTCTCCCGGCACCGGAGCACCGGCGGGGAGACGGACCCCGACTCTTCTCCGGGGCCGGGCGCGCCGCCGCCGCTGCACACAGGTGCTGCCGCCCAACTCGGAGTTGGCGTCCCGGACAGGCGCCGCTCGGCCCCCCTCCGGCTGGGAGGGAAGAGGAGGAGGCACGGCCGCCTCCCCCGAGCGCTGCCTGACTCACAGCCGCGGGGGGAGCCGGCGGGGGGGAAGCCGGGCTGGGCCCCGGGCGGCGGCCATGTGCCGTGGCGTGTGTACCCCCGCTCCTGCCGCAGGTGCCCCGGGAAGTTGGGAGCAGGGCCCGCCACTCACCCAGCACTTTCTTCTCCGTCTCGGCCGCGGCAGTTGCGGGGGTAGCAGCGGCGGCAGCAGCAGCAGCAACAGCGCCGGTGGCCGCCTCACCAACAGCCGCGCCCGGCGCGGCGGTGCTGACGGGGCTCTTAGGCTTGACGTCCGGGGCGGCGGGCGACGGCGGCGCAGGGGCTCCGGCCGGGGGAGCGGCGGCGGCTGCGGTCGTGGTGGTGGCCGTGACGGGTGCCGTGCTGGCGGTGCTGGTCTCCGCCGCCTCGCTCATGGTGGCTGACAGGCGGGCGGTGTGTGGCGGGCGGGTGCGCGGCGGGCGGGTCGGCGTCCCTCGGGCCCGCGCTGGGTCTTACTGCCCCCAAAATGGCCCCGCCGAAGTTTTAACACAGTCAGCGGGGGCTGGCGCCGGCACTCGCGCCGCCTCATTAGCATTTAAAGGGACCGCACCGACAGCTAGCGGGACGCGGGGCATAGGGAGTCGCTTCTCCGTGGCGGGACGCATGGCATGGCATGGCATGGCATGGCATGGCATGGCATGGCATGGCATGGCGATAGGTGGGTGTCTATGCAGGTATATACTTGGCCGCCTGTCTACACAAGAGTGTGCGGACGTGCATGGGGCCAGAGTGGAAGCTTGCTCCGCGCCTGCCCTCCCGCCCGTGGGCACACACCGGCGTGGCCCTGCCGCCGTGCGCACAGGGGGCTCGGAGGGGCTGAGCTGTCGGTCGGGCCCGCACACGCGTGGAGCGGCGGGGCGGGGTGGGGTGGAGGTGTTGGTGCGCGGGGGCGCGCAGCCGGGTGGGGTGGGTGCAGGAGTGAGCGTCCCGTGGGGACAGACGCGTGCTGGTGAGCGGGGATGCGTTGGTAGCGTCACTGCTGCGCAGGGCAGTGATCATCCGCCTGTACCGGACACGGGTGAGGCCGCACCTCAAATCCTGTGTTCAGTTCTGGGCCCCTCACTACAAGAGAGGCATTGAGGTGCTGGAGCGGGTCCAGAGAAGGGCAACGGAGCTGGTGAAGGGCCTGGAGCACAAGTGTGGTGGGGAACGGCTGAGGAACAGGGTGTGTGTGTGTGTGTGTGTGTTTAGTCTGGAGAAGAGAGGGCTCTGGGGGGACCTTATCACTCTCTACAACTGCCTGAAAGGAGGATGGAGACAGGAGATGGAGGGTCTCCGCTCCCAAGCAACAAGCAATATGACACGAGAAAACAGCCTCAAGCTGCACCGGGGAGGTTCAGACTGGATATTAGGAAAAATTTCTTCACTAAGAGGTGCTCAGGCATTGGAACAGGCTGTTCAGGGCAGTGGTGGAGTCACTATCTCTGGAAGTGTCCACAAACTGTGCAGATGAGGCCCTCAGAGGTATGGTTTAGTGGTGCTCTTTCAGTCCTGGGGTAACAGTTCCACTTGATCTTACAGATCTTTTCCAGCCTCGTTGATATTTATGATTCTTTTCTTGTCACCTTTTCCATGTTCACACTTTCCTATAGCACCCTCCAGTTTGTATTCCCCCCCCCCCACCTGATTTTCACTCCTGCCCTACCACTGCTGCCTCATTTCCTTGACACTGCCAATCACATCTCCCTCACCTGCCTCCCTAACTCTTCTTGCTTTTTACTGTCCTTTCCCCAGTTTTCGTACAGCCTCTCTGGGTGTTCTTTTTGGCAGTTTCTGTGCCTTTTTGCAGTCTGCACACTAACACCCATCTTTCTTCCACACTACCACCACATCACTTTTCCTAATTGCCTCTGCCTTGCATACATGTTTCCATATGAGGTGGATGCCTGAACTGAAGCTTCATGCACCCAATCTTCTCTACTTCCTCAAAGTTTTGCTTTGCTTCTCTGTATACCTGAGCACTCCAGGAGCATGATCCTGTTTGTTTTTCACTTTGTATCCCCTCCTAATCTCATCGTCTTGATAATTCCTCAATAGCTCTCACAAGAAGAATAAAGGTCTTTGGAGGGCATTTCTTGCTGAACATTGTTCAGGTAGCAATGCCAACATCAGCTCCAAAGCGGCCCCAGATGAAGTGTTCAGTGGGAAAGCACACCTTAGGGTATGGTTTAAACTGCATAAGGTCTTACCTGCTGGAGCTCCTCAGGAACCTTGAACCTGGGGTTGATAACTCATAGCATCACAGAATGGTTTGGGTTGGAAGAAACCTTAAAGATCATCTAGTCCCAAACCCCCTGCCACAGGTTGGAACTAGAACATGTTGCTCAATATCAGAGCCAAAAGAAAAAGATGCTACAAAGCTGTAATGTGGACCCACACACAACTGTGCACAAGCTATGGCTTAGCTACTTTCCAGACTGACAATGAACCAGAAATTCTGGAATTCAAAATGCTTTTGGAGCATTCAGGGGTATTTCTCCCACAAAGGCATCACTGCTCCCAGTTCATTTACTTAACACCATTTCCTAAACCCTGGATGGGAATTACTATTACAGCTCTCCTCATCACATTGCACTGGACACATGTGAACCAAAAATATAGTTTTGTCCTATAGTTTTTAATCCTCCACTGTTAATTTCACTATTAGAGAGTATTTCTATTACTGTTATTAATATGAGTACTATGCTCATTTTCTTAAGATTTTGTCACTTTGTGTCCTCTTACATTTTCAGGATATGTGAACATTTCTAAGAGGGTGCTGATTTGAATGGATTTTGAGAGGAAGATTTATTATGCTGAGTCAAATGCGTTATCAAAATTCAGCCACTGGCATGCAGTTGGGACATCAAATTTATTTTCAATGACATTGTTAATTAATTTTTCTTCCTCAAGCTAATTTTAGACTTCTACTGAAAAGCCCCTTCAACAAAACCCTACAGTGTACAAGCCATTGAAATGTACTGTGTTTGATTCCATTCCTTTGTAGAAAATTGGCAATGTTCTCCTCTTGGGTTTTGTTGGGTTTTTTTCCCAATTATTTTAATAATGAGAAAATGTAAGAATTATAAAATAGTTTCATTTTTCCTTTTCTTGCTGACAATTGGTAATACATTTCCTTTCAAACTCTTTTCAAAAATTATGTTGGAAGAAATTAAGCCACCAACTTGGATAATAAAAACATGTAAATGTTGCATGTGAAGATTAATTTTTGCATCTCTACATTTGCTGAATACTTCTTAGCAACTACTTGTAAATAACTATACAGTTTAGAACAGTACAGAGTCACAGATTGGTTGAGGTTGGATGGGACCTCTTGAGGCCATCTGGGACCAATGCCCTCCTCAAGCAGGCCCACCTACAGCTGGTTGCCCAGGTCCATGTCCAGACAGCTTTTGAGTATCTCCAAGGATGGAGACTCCAAACCCTCTCTTTACTGTGAGTTTGCCTCACTGTAAGAAAAGTGTTTCCTGATGTTCATAGTGAGCATTTTGTGTTCCGGTTTGCATCCATTGCCTCTGGTCTTGTATTCCCTGACCTAATCCTCTTCCACCAAGGGTACATTTTCCTTGCTCCAGACTTTCCCTCTGATCTCAGGGACCTCAGATTCCTGAAGGCTGGTCTTGCTAGTGAAGACTGAAGTAAAGGTGGATTCAGCACCTCAGCCTTTTCCACATCCTGTGCCACCATGTCCATATCTCTGGTCTCATTCAGCAGTAGGCTCACATTTTCCCTAGTCTTCCTTTTGTCACCTATTACTTGCAGAAACCCTCCTTGTTGCCTTTGACACACCTCACCAGATTCAATTCCACTTGGGCTTTGGCTTTCCTAACCTCATCTGTGTGTGCTTGGACAGGGTGTTTGTATTCTTCGCAAGTTAGGCATCCTTGCTTCCACCCTCTATATGCTTCCTTTTTAAGTTTGAATGGGCTTTCTTTTTTGGGGGCCAGGAGCTGCTTTTGCCTGATTTCCCACTCATCAGGATGGACAACACTGGAGCTTGGAGGAAGCTTTCTTGAGCCCATCTTTCCTCCTACAGAGCCATATCCCATGGGTCTCTCTTGAGCAAACCTTTGAAGAGGCCAAAGTCTGGTCTCTCTGGAGTTGGGAGCTTGCATTTTGTCCTGCTCCCTCCTGTCAGAATTTCATGGTCACTGCAGCAAAGGCTGCTTTCAACCTTCATGTTCCCAGTGAGTCCTTCCTGGTGGCTGCTGGTGACTCTCCTTCCCACATCATTCTTACCATAAAGCCCTTTACCTGGTCAGCCATCCTGCTGGCAAGGATGCCTTTGTCCCGCTTAAATGAAGTGGATCCCATCCCTCCCAAGCAGATGCTGATCCTCAAACAAAGTCCCCTGTCATAGAAACCAAAACCTTGTCACTGACACCAGCTCCTCAAACAGTTGACACACAGTTGTTTCTTCTTCCTCCTCACCTCCTTTCCCCTCATCAGCAGGGTTGAGGGAAAACCACATCCTTCTGACATTGCAGGAATGCAGGAAATAGCAATCTAATACACTAAGTTGCTCATAACTTGGCCAAAGTGATAGCTTGGACTGAAATTTGTACTTCTTGTTTGAAAAGTTCAGCTAAAGATGCTCAGTCCTGACAGTGACACTTCCCTCATTTGAATTTGGTTTAGGACTTGTCTTTATGAGTTACAGTGATTCTGTGCTTTTGAGTGGAAAGTTGAAATTAGCTGTGATAGAGGTACATGTTTTACAGTTCCTATTGGTAGGTGCACAAAAAAGCACCTCTCAAAACTACTAGAAATCAAATTTCACCAAGTAATGAACTTCTGGAAAGACATCTTTAGTATGTGGTCAATAGAGAAATGATCTGAAGGTGTCATCTGGAGGTGTGCCAAGCATGCTTCAGTTCTTCCTTGCTGCTTGAACCCCGTGTCTGTCACTCTTACACAAGCACCATGGGACACTCCATCTGGGGACAGCCAAGCAGGTCAGCCTTGCAACTGAAATTCCTCTGTGTGACTGTGGCATCAGTCACCAGTGTTTGGAGAGGACTGTCTTGTTGGTGCTCTTCTGTGTGCTTCCTGCTGCCCAAGTTGTAACAAGGGCAGAAGCAGAGTATGAGGAGCATGGGCTACACCAAATGCAAGACCAGGGACTGAAACATCCAGGGTGAAGACACTTGTCAGAAGGGAAGAGGCATTGGAACAGGCTGCCCAGGGAAGCAGTGGAACCACCATCCCTGGAAGTGTTCAAAATCCATGTAGATGAGGCTCTTAGTGACATGGTTTAGTGGGGTAACAAGATGATCTTGAAGATCTTTTCCAAGCTAGTTGATTCTATGATTCTAAATACTGAAGGCAGAAACCAGGAGAAAGTGGTGGCTGAAAGAGAGCAGGAAGGCCTGGTGATGAGTGTTTATACCCCTCTGATACGTAGTCCATATGCTTTGCCTTTTGCTGCTTCCACCCAAGGGGAAGATATTCAAGCTGAAGCCCTGGAAAGCTAGACCTGCTTCTCCCTTGG